GAAAAGATGCCTGTTTTTTCAGGGTTCCTTACATTTAGGGTCCTGCATGACCGTGGTGCTTTTTGCATTGGAAGATCACATCACATCACATCATATCACACATCAAAGCTTGCAATACGTAGTTAAAGCGGATCCAGCAATGATTCATATTTAAGACTTATAAAGCATCTCATTCATCCATGGCAAAATCCATGGTCGACGACACTTCTACAGGTCCCTCCTCCACCACCTCCTTTCCCTTATACCTGAGCAGCCTAGGTTGTGCCACGGTACTGAAAGGCTTTCTCTTTTTGTATGCCCGCCACACATCCACCACCTCGTCCCAGTTTGGCTCATAATCGAGCAGACTGATGCACATGAGATCGCTCAGCCGTGTGTCCTTCAGGCTGCCCCGCAGCCACGACTTGATGACATTCTGTCGTGAGAATCCCCGCTCACATTCCACCGTGCTCAGCGGAAGCACGGCCACTGCCACCCACAGCTTCATGAGGTTGGGGTAGGCATCTTGCCAGTCTGCTGTCTTCAGCATCGCAGTGAGGCCAGCGTGGAAGTTTTTTTCGCTCTTCGGAAATGCAGCAAGGATCGGGGTGAAGTGTGGCAACTCCCGCAGTGCTTGGCGCTTGTCGATGCCTGCCACAGACGGGAAAAGAGGTCGGGGGAGTGGTGTAAGGTTATGGTGGAGACAGTCAACTGAGAGAAAGAGACAACACATGTGCAACAGTCTCAGTTGTACAATGGTACATGTCGGTGGGTTTAATGGTAACGAGTTCACCTGGAAGGATCTCGTTCCTCTGCTCCGCGTTGTACAGCCCCACCAAAGAGTGGAACCATTCCAAGCACTGCACCCTCCTCGCCTGCCGATCCCAGTCCTTCGGCCAGGCAGAAACGCAGAACAGCTTTACCCCCGCCAGCTTGCGAAGATCCCCGAGGCGCTCGTTCAGGTTATTCACCATCCCTTCCGCCAGGTCCATGCAAGCCACCACGCAGTTGTCATGCTTCCCTCCCCCAGGGTACCCTTGCAGCGTGTCAACGTGAAGCTCAAATATGAAGCTCGTGAGACTCCCGTCGGAGTCCACGCCACTGACAGTGACCTCGCGAGAACCGCCAGGACCATGAAGGGTGAGGAAGTTGGTGAGACGGTCCTTCGGGCCACCCCCGAACTCATCCCCGCAATCGACGTAGCGGCTCAGGAACAGGCTGGTGATGCGAAGGACGGACGCGTGGACGGTCAGGTAGTCCAGCTGATGGGGGGATGGGGGAAGGTCGGGGGCAAGCAAGCTAGGACAACAATATAAAGTGACGTCCGCAAGTATACCACCACGCTAATGCAATTGTTATCTCACCTCGCGCTCCTGAAAGCCCTTGTTGAGGATGTTGAGCTGCTCGAGGACGTCAGCAAGGAAGTGGACGAAGAACCAGAAGCGGTAACTGGTCGCAATTCTGTAGAGCCTGTTGTCGGGGAACTCTTTGAGCATAACCACAAGCGCAGGCAACACCGCCAGCAACCTTGAGATTGCCTCACCTCTCGACAACCATCGAATGTTGTGAATACCCTGGAGCTCCAAGGTTGTCGAGAGGAACAGGTCTTGCAAGTCGAGAAAGCGCTGGTGCCACGGGCCGGATCTTCCGAAGTACTCCGCCAGCTCCTTGATGAAGTCATCCACAATTTGAAACACCGGAAGCGCCTCTGATGCTGCCTTGGCTGCCAAAGCCTCCCTGCATGACAAAACGTGAAACCAATACATTAGCATATTGCAAGCAAAGTTGAAGACGGCGTTAACTCTTGTACTCAGGATGACATATCTTACCTATGCGCAATACAGTGACACGACACAAGGTGAGGCACTTGCTGGCGCAGTCGAGTAACAAGCCCACTCTTCGACCCCATCATGACAGCCGCCCCATCAGTGCTGATCCCGGAGACTCGCTGGAGATCCACCCCAATGGCGTTCAGGTGGGTAAGCAGTAGGGCGAGCAGTGAAGACGCATCGGCTTTGTCCACCGTCAGCAAGGCCAGGTACTCGCACACCAGCCGGTTGTCACGGATGAAGTGGGCGTACACAATCAAGTGCTTCCCTCGGCAGCGGTCGGTGCTCTCGTCCAGCATGAGGCCGATGTAAGGACTCGACAGAAGGTGGTGAAGCTGCGTTGTTTGGAGCCAGGTTGCCGTTCCTAGTGTGAATTCGCCGAATCCGTACCTGCACGGTTCACATGGACTAACACACACTGTAAGTACGACGTGCAACCTAAGACGCGCACTAATCGGAGGGTCTAAATAATCAGAGAACATAGAGGGCATTAACAGAATGAAGTCCGTAGCTAAGCGGTGATGATTGTATACTCACGTGTTGTAGTACGTGCCGTAGGCCTGCTGCGGGAAACCCGTCACCTTCCGCGACGCCAGGTACTGAACGAGCCGGATCCATGTCTCGGCCGGCTCGTTAGTCTTGCAGCAGAACCACAAGGCGTCCAGCAGGGCAGTGACGCGCTCCCTCTCAAGGTCCCCGGCAAGGGGATGTTGATCGATGCGTTGTTGTCTGGTTGCCTGTTGCAGCAGATCGTTCTGCTTCTGCAGAGCGAGTTGGTGCTTGCCGGACCCCGCATGTCGTGTGAACGCCTGAGTCTGAGCATCGCATAGGCCTGGGCCACGCTTGCCAGCCTTCCCAGAAAGACCTGCGTGCTCCAAGCATAGGGTGCACTTAAAGGCAGGCAAGCCAGAGTCAGTCTTTAAAATGACAAGCCACGGGAATCGCGTCGACCAACGGGTCTTAAACCTGCTGTGAGCCTCCGCATACTGCTCCTCAGAACTCGTTGTCTTGGTCGACGACCTGTTTGGGGTGTCGTCAACATCGTCGGCGTCGGCAGCTTCTTCATCGGGCGGTGATGGCTGTTTCACTTTGGGCTGACCAAATGGCAGAACAGCCTGCCGGTAGCGCCCACAAGGCCGCTGAGAGACAGACGCAGGAGAGGAGTCGTAAGCGGGCTGAGTAGACGACGGCCCGGGTACAGCTGGGGGCAGGGATTCGGCAACGGGGACTGTGCTGACTCGACTCACACGCGCGGCAGACTTTGGCGGGACAGCCGCTGGAGAGGCGCTGTCTGCGGGTTGGAACGTCGACGGACCAGGTACCGAAATTTCTGCAGCATGAACCGGAACGGGAAGACTCCAGCAGCCAGGTGGCATTGCTTGCACAGCCTCTGGGGAGGAAGCGTTCGCTGGGTGGATCGGCTGCAGTCGCGCTACTGCAGGTGGGGTATTTCTGACTGCGGGCATCGTAAGGATGCCCGCTCTTCCATTGATGGTGGTGGGTGCTACACGGGCCTCTACTGCCCTAGGATTGCTGCGTAGCGAAGACAGGCTAGACAGTAGCATGTCTAGCCCTGATCGAGCATCGGCCATAGCTGCGACATGGCCGTCAGTATCGTCCTCAGGAGCCTCGTCGCCGGCGTCAGCCATGGCGACGTGGGGGGCAGTAGAGCGATCAACGTGAGAGAGACGATGGAGGGCTTCTTACACGACAGGTGAGACTGACAAGAAAGCTAGGCAACGAGTCAGTGAGAGGGGCAATTTTGCCCCAACGTAATAATGACCTCGACAAGAAAGGGGGGCGCGATTCGACTCGAATGGAGAGACGACAATGGGGCTGCATCTGGCCTTCATTCGAGAGGCCAGCGCAATGCATGCATCTGTTGCTTCATTGTCACCCGCTCTGCATGACAGCACCAGTGTGCTGGCGCAACGGTAGGCTTTGTTACTGGCTGACGATACCACATTTGCCTTAGCACCAATCAGATCGTGCAACATCGATGCCTTCAGTATACAGCTGTGCTGTAGGTTCCGCCCTAAGCCAATCAGTTGTCACCGTGCAGTGAGCTGGGCAGCATATGACTCGGCTGGTCGGTAACTTGGGCGAAATTTCAGGGACCTTGACATGATTTGAGGGAAACACGTGGGGGGAAGGGGGGGGGGGGGGGGGGAGAGCGGGGAGCGCAAATCCCGGTATTGACAAAATCAGGACGCGTACGCATTAGAGTGTCAGAAATTTCAGGACGCGTTACATAAACCATGCGGAGTGATCAGAGTTCACTACAAAAAAACCGCTGAAAAAACAGGATGCCGAGCAAAAAAAACCCTACGCAATCAGGACCGGCCCGCCAACGGGGTCTGTTTTTTTCCTGAATCAGGAAAAATTTCCTGCAATCTAGGGGCCTGAGTTGAACCCTTGTTCCTTGTTTTTGAGAACAAGTGATTTATTAAATAAACAAGCATACAGCAATATATAGAAAATAGGAAAGTAAAGCAGTTGTAGAATACAGTTGCAGGAGCGGTTATCGAGTCGCACAGCGACTCGATTGTCGCTTCGGTTACCATTCGTGCAGTTGTAACGGTCAGTCGCAACCTCCAGTTGCGACCTTTCGAGTCCCTTTGCGTTCTTTGTCCATCCCCTCGTGTAACCTCCGTTGACTCGCGTACCCGTTGCGATCTTCCTCGAGTGTAGTGTTATACTTCAGAAACGCTTAAGTCCTTTGAGATATTTCCAACAAGATTAAAGAGGAACCATTGATGTTGGGAAATGCATTCCATCCGTGCTGGTTATATGGTAAGTCATGTGAAATGTACCCAGGTCATTTTGTCTGAGGCTCGATAATGGCCCTGCCAGTTTTCCACATTTTCCTGCTTCCCCCCTTTCCCTAGAAGCCAGGTTTGTGCATGAGCTTGCCAGGGCCATATGCACATCCACCGTGGCGTGAAATTGGCCAATCCGTGCAAATCAATGAATGTGCCAACATGCCAAACAGGTACAGCAGATGACTCATCCTACGGGCCTCACACAGCTGGCAGGGTGCAGCGGTTCGGCTCCACACATCCATTTTCCCAACAGACCAATAGGGGGGTGAAACGAGATGCTTTATCTGATTGGCTGGGTTTAGCGGTTCGGCTCCAGCGACAACATAAGAAAATTGGTACAAATATACATTTGCAACTCTGGTTATGCAATCGTTCTAATCGTTGAGAGCTTGTCCAGCCGATTTCCACCAAACACGCAGCTTGTCCTGATTATAAGCTATAGCTCATTAGAAAATGGCTGCCCTCAGCTCATCGTCCCTAGTCTCTCAGACTTCCGCCAATCCCTTTGGTAAACCAGCCTCTACCTCTTCCTCTCCTTCGCACATCCCCGCGTTCTCTGGCCTCCGCACACTCGGCCATGCGAAGGCCGGTTCCGCCAAAACAAGCTGCGCCAACAGCTGCAAATGCTCGCGCCATTCCACTATCCGAGCTGCAGCAACTTTCGAAAACAACAGCTCGCACGAAACCATCGATGTCGCCACGTCGTCGCAAACGCTTTTCGCCAGCGTGTCGCAAGCTTCCACCCCTCCCACTGCTCCTTCTGCTTCCTCTAGCGCAATCGTCCCTGCCATTCTCGGAGCCGGCCTGCTCGGAGGAGCGGCCTTTGCGCTCCTCTCAAACAAGTCCGCGCCCCCCACGGCACCCGCTCCCCCTACTCCCGCCGCGGCCGCCGCTGCTGCCGTCACGACTGGCTATACTAACGGCGCCGCGACGAAGTTCGTGAAGCGAGCGGCGCCGGCGGCGCTGGCGACGATGGCGGCGACGTTTCCGAACGCGATGCAGGAGGAAACGTTCATGCACGCGGTAGCGGAGGAGCTGCGCAACCTGGGCTTTCAGCGCGACAACTGCATCGCGCTCGTCAACACGTGTCGCGACGAAGTCTGCCGCCCGATCGTGAACCTTATCGATAAGGAATTCGGCATGTCGTTCAACATCGCGGGGCTGGGAGGACTCGTGAATTGCGGCAAGACGGGGTTCAAGGCCGCCATGTCGCACTCTCCAGAGTTCCCGTGCGAAATCGACGGCAAGCTCCGCGAAAGATGTGAGTACTGACCTTGTTAACGTGAAAAAAAAAAAGAACGAACAGCTCCTAAACCATTAGCAAGTCAAAGGTAGCAAAGGACGATCTTTCTTCTGTTGTACACAAATACACAAATCCGCCCCACTCCACAGACATTTTCTTCGGGTTCCCGCACGTGTCTATCGGCGAGTCGGGCGAGGTCGGCTCACTCCTGCGCCGTGGGCGCGGCAAGCCCTCCTCGGCGTGCGGTGCGCTGATCGCCATCAAGGGCGACATCAAGGCGGGTGGCCCCGTGGAGGACGACCCCGATAACGCCGAGTACGTCGAGCTCAAGCGGAAAATCATCTCGCGAGTGGCGTCTTCGGGTTCTGACGGCCCATCGCTGGTTCAAGTCACCAGGGCCGCGCTCCAAGCAATTACTGACGACCTGGAACGCCTTATCTCCCTTACAGTTGACCCCGCTACTGCCGACTACGCAGTGATCACCGGCGTGCAGATTCATTCCGGCGATCAGGTTAGTACTCTTTACGATTATGCTCTCACCCTCGCTTAATGATGGCTTGTGAAGCATCGGAATTGATGCACAATTGAGCGAAGTCGTTCCCCTCTATGCAGATTCCCGGGGAGCCCTTCCGCATCGAGCGCACGTGCGACTACATCGCGCCCAATGCTATGTACGCCGTGATTCGCGGGGAGAAGCACATTCTGCACACCGAGATCAACCAGATCACCGCCATCAAATCCGTGCCTGCTGATATCTTCTCCAACTAGAATCAAGGACTGTTTTCTGCGTGGACGGATGTGAATTCGTCAAGTGTTCCGGTCGTTTTTTTCGCTTCCTGACATAAGCAGGGATTGCGTTATTCCTCCGAATAATCCTTATGCCTTTATGTTGTATAATGTCTGAGTAAAGTGCTAAAGTTCGTACTCATGGCATGAGCCGGAAATATAGCTGTCAGAAAAAAAGGGAAGCACGCAGTACATCAACGTCGTCTGTCTAAATAGATTGTCCAGCTGTAACATGCTAGTTCTGCAAGACAGGGTCATCCATTTCTGTTGCGCCTAAGGAGATGTGGAGGTAATGCAGCTCTGAACAAGCTAAACATGTCAAGTCTTTCGATGTTAGTAGACAGGAAGTTCGAATTCGAAGCTGATAAGCGAGAGCACATGACATAAAACTCCAAGCAAAACACTTGCGAGTCGCGAGTGAAAGTAATTAAACAGGCGAGGCGGGTTGGTTGGGTGGTCCGACTAGGATCACGACAACTTCTGGCGCGAAATTTGGAGAAGGTTCAGCGACCACAATGAAATGGCCACGTGGAGATGCCTGAGCTGGAGTCCCAAACCGATGACTTACATCTCCATCCTTCAACTTCTCCACTTTTCACAGCCACACGAGTCTGCCTAGCTGGAATTTTCACGTAGCTTCTTCTCTTATGGTGCGAACCTGGTAACCAGAAAATGCCCCTCATGTCAGGGTTCACGGAGGAGTTTGAAGGTCGCACGCAATTCGTCGCAGCGAGGCACGCCAGATTTCAGGAGGAGGTTCAGGGGGGCGTTGCTCGCGCGTTTAGGAGGGCATCACGTCACCAACCGCGCCGCGCAGTTTGTCTGCACGGGACCACTTTTTGAGACCCCATTCAGTTCCCCTGGTTCCATTCATCCATTTCTCTTTCGCCCGAAATTCGGGAAAATTATCACCCCTGCACCACACACTGGCACCAACCCATGCCCAAACTCCCTGTGCGACAGCCTCGCATTCCCCTGCCTGCTCCCTACAGTCAGCGGCGGGAGACGAGGACGGGAGGGGTGACGGACTAAACTCATCGAAATAAATGTGATGAGCGCTCTCCCTTTCTCCAATTCTCGTGTTCGCCTCCACCGCTTGTTGATTTTCGAATAGCTTCTTCGCCAAGCCCTTGTGCTGAGCTGCTGCACCACTCGCCTTCCACCTTCACCTGTCTCGACCTCAGCCTTTCAGCTCCTACAATGGCCACCATCAGCGCTCGCACACTGACCGCGAGGAATCCGACGGCTCTGCTCGGTCAAACCGAGTCAATGACGTCCTCCAGTGTCATCCCCTCCTTCTCCGGCCTCCGCGCCGCTGCGCCCGTCAAGGCCGCCGCGAAGTCCGCCGCCTGCGCGCGCGGCTGCAAGTGCTCCCGCCACTCAGTCGTCCGCGCCGCCGCCGCGTCCGCTAACAACGACGCGAACGAGGCCGCGTCGCAGACTCTCTTCGCCAGCGTGTCGCAGGCGACGTCGCCCGCCCCCGTCACAGAGAACCCCCTCCTCGTCCCCGGAATCATTGGCGCCGGCGTCGTCGGCGGAGCCGCGCTCGCGCTGCTGACCAACAAGCCGGCCGCCGCGCCGGCCGCCGCGTCTCCCACCGCCGCGACCACCTCCGGGGTGATCCCGCGCGCGAAGCGCGCGGCGGCGCCCGCGCTGGCGACGATGGCTGCAACGTTTCCGAATGCGATGCAGGAGGAGACGTTTATGCACGCGGTGGCGGAGGAGCTGCGCAACCTGGGCTTTAAGCGCGACAACTGCATCGCCCTCGTCAACACGTGCCGCGACGAAGTCTGCCGCCCGATCGTGAATCTGATTGACCAGGAGTTCGGGATGAGCTTTAACATTGCCGGGCTCGGCGGGCTGGTGATCTGCGGCAAGACCGGGTTCAAGGCCGCCATGAGTCACTCGCCCGAGTTCCCGTGCGAGAAGGACGGCAAGCCCCGCGAGCGATGTAAGTGGTAACCCGTCGCGCAGAATGGTATTTTTTACTGAACTTAGAGGGTCGGTTTTACGTTCTGGCAAAGGTGATACGTCTACTTCTAGCTCTTTGTCACTCGCGCCCGGAATTGTCCCTCTTCCTGTACTCTATCCCACCAGGAGGGTTCTCCCGTTTGCCTGTCCTTAAAGCCCGCAGTCCGGATTGTCCAAGAAGGGGGGTTTGTTAAACACTTGAAGCGGTGTAACGAACTTTTTACTAGGGGCGCGGAGGTTGGCGAAAATGTTTTGGGGTTCGCTATCCAACCAAACTCCCCCCCCCCTCTCGTTCAACTGCTTTATTTTTTTACAATCCGGACCCAGGGCTTTAATCGTGTCGTTACCCTCCCTCACCGTCACCCTGTTACCCCGTTACAGACATTTTCTTCGGCTTCCCGCACGTGTCCATCGGCGAGTCGGGCGAGGTGGGGTCTCTCCTGCGCCGTGGGCGCGGCAAGCCCTCCTCAGCGTGCGGAGCGCTGATCGCCATCAAGGGCGACATCAAGGCGGGCGGCCCCGTGGTGGACGACCCCGATAATGCCGAGTACGTCGAGCTCAAGCGGAAGATCATCGCGCGGGTGAAGCCCTCCGGCTCCGACGGCCCCTCTCTGGTGCAGGTGAGGGAATGGGGCGTGTTAAAGTCCTTCGGAAATGTATTCCGGGGTTGAGAAAACGATGAGAGGGTTTTTAGGGGATAGGGCTCAGGTGGCGGGGCTCAGGAGAGGGGTTTATGAAAGGAATGAATGGAACGAGCAGCATAGGGAAGTGCCGTCTTGTGGTGCTGATTGAATGACTCAATTGTGGTGATGCCTGCGTGAATGCATGAGTATGCTTCCTCGCAGGCGCCCAGCTTGATGCACTTCTAGCTTGATGCACTTCTAGCTTCATGCACTCCTAGCTTGATGCACTTCTAGCTTCATGCACTCCTAGCTTGATGCACTTGTAGCAGCTGCCCTCCATGCCTCACCATCACTCATCGCCGCCCCGCCTCGTGACTCCCCTTCCCATTCTTCTCCCTCCAGGTGACCAAGGCGGCCCTGCAAGCCATCACTGACGACTTGGAGCACCTGATTTCGCTCACAGTGGACCCTGCCACGGCCGACTATGCCGTCATCACCGGCGTGCAGATCCACTCCGGCAACCAGGTGGGTCCTTGCTTGCTGGTCCACTTCTGTCTTGCTTGCTGGTCCACTTTGTCGGTAACCTTGTGTGGTTTCCTAACTCCCATCCTGCCTGCGTCCTATCATGCCTTGGTTTCCGAGCATCCCCCACTCCGTCTCCTCCACCTTCCTCCCACTGTCCCTGGGGATCTCCCCCGCCCTTGTATGAGTTCCCCCTCCTAGGACCACAGCACCTTGTATCGACATTGATACAGTAATACACCATGCTCACCTCTCCTTGTTTCCTTATCCTCCCGTTCTGCAGATTCCCGGGGAGCCCTTCCGCATTGAGCGCACTTGCGACTACATTGCGCCCAATGCCATGTACGCCGTGATTCGCGGCGAGAAGCACATTCTGCACACCGAGATCAACCAAATTACCGCCATCAAGTCCGTGCCTGCTAACCAGTTCGCTTAGGAATGTAATGCTATTCTTTAGTACTAGGGTGTAAATCATGTGTTAATGTATGATAAGTTCAAAAGAACGGTTTAATGGCGCCATAACAAAATTGTACCCCCTACAGCATCAGTGCAGTAAGTTAACCCCTGCAAGATTGTCGCACAGTCTCAGGGTTGAGGAATGCTAAGTGACTTAAGGTATACTTCCTATAAACTTGTATGGTGTAAACTGCTCACATACAGATACAGATATACGCCACCTGAGTAAGTATGCATACTTGGTAGTTGGCAACTAAGAAAATGTGAGAAAAGCGCACCAAAAGCTGTTGGCACAAAACCAGTGTTCAACAATGATTAACTATACAGCAGGTCATTGACTAGAGTAATTGGCAAGTCGTGAATAGGAGGAATAGGGGCCCTACGGCTCAGCTGCATGGCATCATGTGCATTAGGCGAGCGATACAATCTCGGCCCATGGTGTGTACTGGATCCTGACTGCAGCACCACTGATTCTTGTGAATTATTGCTCAATACATTCCTCGATGTACTGCTTGCTAGAACTGGCGATGGTGCGTCTGGCGTTGACTGCGGAGGCGATGGGACGTGAGAGGGTGTGTGGGATGGGTGTGAGGCGGGGTGGAAGATGGTGGGAGTGAGAGGAGGCTGCATCCGTGCAGAGTTGTCTGATGGGACGGAAGAGGAAAGGCCATTGGGAGTGTGGGGGGCAGAGGGTTTGGACCGGACACGGGAGACAGGGGTAGGGAAGGGGAAAAGGGGGAGTGACTTGAGATGGAAAGAGAAGCACCATGTTAGAGATGGCTCCGAGGCATATCGAAGGCAGATTAAAGTCCAGGCTCCACAGAGTGCAAAGGAGCATTTGTGAAATGCTCTGTATCAGAAGGTTGGGGACCAGTCACCAAAGAAGAAACGCAAGCTACCTTAAGAAGGGTTTGTGTTGCGTTGGAGGATCACGTATGGAGGGTAGAAATCAGCGTACCGTGGATGGAGAATTTGGAGGAGGCGGGCTGCACGGAGAGGCGGTTGAGGCCCGAGTAGAGCAGGAGGGCACAGAAGACCGTGACTATAAGGAACGCCGGTATAACAGACGCCCAATGCCTGTAGTCGTGTGCAGAATAAAATAAGTGTGGGTGGGAAGGGAAGGGATATAAGGGGGAGCTAGGGAAGGGGGGGGAGGGAGGGAGGGAGAAGAGAGATGGGGGGGAGGGAGAAAGAGAGGGAGGGAGAGCAGGATATAAGGACGCGGGGGGAGAAGCAAACAGTGAGAAAATAGTAGGCATAATGCTAGACCAGGAAAAGTGTGTAGCATCTAAATCATATAATTAGACCTCTGAAATGAAGAGAAGAGAAAGACGCAGAGACAGCTACAAGGCCTAGAGAAACCAAGCCAATAAAAAGATCACAAACCTGCTTTACTAAAAAAAAGCAAGTTGTTGATTAGGAACGAAGGTATGGAAGAAAAACTCACTTGGAAGGATGGTAGGATAGGCCGATAGAGAGGAGAATGCTGTTGGGAACGTATGCCCACACCAGGTAGAGGCCTGCACGCACGCATGCGTGAAAGAAACAAAAGCACTCCCAATGTGAGCTTATCACACGACTGTCATCGCAAGTGAGCTTACCACACGACTATTAGCACACGTAAGCTTACCACACGAGACGATGACAACGATTGACCCAACAAACGCCTGAACCTCCCCTGCTCTCGTGCTGCTCCGCACATTTTTATCTTCCTCGGAAGACGCCATAGATGCCTTATCGCCTTAATTTTCACTTGCTCTGCGTAGATGCCGTATCGCCGCGATTCGTATCTCTGTCTCACGCCGTCATTCGACGACGAGTGGGGTATTCCGAGAGGTGAGTAACGGAAAGAGAAACTTCAATTGCGGAACTATACTAGAACGAGGTAGTCGGAACTATACAAGCATGTGGCTGCTCAGAAAGCGACGGAGGCCACAACAATTGACTGGACGCTCACTGCTTCGACTTTCCATTAGAACAACCTAAAAACACCAGTTCCCAGGACAGCCAATACCGGGCCTTAAAACAAAGCACCCGAGCCTGAAGCCTCATCTGCGAGCCACAAGAGCCTGCGTCTAACACGAGTCAGCCATTCCTGGAACGACGACGAGACAGCCGACTGCAAGTAAACGCGTCTCTGTTAGAATCGTCAGTATTGCACAGCCTGGAAACAGGCTCGAACGACCTAGACTGGAAAACTACCAACTACGGGCGCTGCACAGGAGACTAAAAACCTAATTACTGCCTGCTAGATCAGAGACCCACTGATCTGGCAAGAAATACCAGAAGTGGATAAAGGGGGGTCATAAGAGTTCATCTTATCTCTCAACCCTACTGGACCGTAGTAAAACGTTCTTTGTTAGTGTTTTAAAACAGACAATAACGCACTGGACCATGCTCAAGTGAGCTCCTATGACGAGTACCAGCGAAACTCGATTGGCGGGGTCGTATTCCCTCAAGTTGTCACGAAGCACACAAGGGATTGACACGAAATGAGCAGCACATGTTCGTGTCAAGAAGCGGAATGTCCTGAAGTCACACTGTCGGGCGAATATGGTAGTCAGGTTCGCTGAAATTGTTCTGAAGTGGAGATGAATGCGTCGAGAGAAGTGCAACCGATTTGCGAAAATCGCTCACGTCGGCGAAGTTCCCGAGGTTTGTGGGGAGATCAAAACCAGGAACACGCACCAGCGTTATGCCCGTTTGACAGTCCGTCATTTCAGGAATCAGGATGCACACTCACGCCCACTCCTTCTGGGCGTAGCGAGCAAATTCCCACTAACCCGAAGCGTAGCCTTCATGGGGTCCAATGGCGACAAGGAGCCACGTGTCACGTCGTCACGTCATCGCAGCCGCGATTTCGCCATCCGTCCGCTCCTCCGGGTTCCAGATAGATTGCTATGCTCAGACTGCTTACCCTCAGAGCGATTACTCTCAGAACGCCTTCTCGCGTCGTGCTCTCCCTTCTGCCGTCCGGTCCTCCGCCAATCCTCTTCGCCAACCACCAGTTCCCTAGAAGCCTTTGGTGACGCCAGCGTCCGTCATGCTGACGCCAGCGACGCTGCCCACGCTACAGAAAGGGACTGGTTTGACGAAAGGGACGGGTTTGACGGCAGTAGCGGATCATTTTCGAGTTCGCACCGGATTTCGGAGCGGCTGACACGTGTCATCAGATCCCTGTGCCGCTGCTTGCCGTGGCGATGCATGGAGGGTGAGGATGCTGCCTTGCATCGGCTGAGGGGAGCAGAGAGAGAGAAAGATGGAGAGGAAGAGGAGGAGCCGAGGGAGGAGGAGAAGGAGGAGGAAAGGGAGGAGGAAAGGGGGGAGGAAAGGGGGGAGGAAAGGGGGGAGGAAAAGGAGGAGGAAAATCAGGAGGGAAAGGAGAAGGTTAGGAAGGAGGGAGAGGCGGAGGTGAGGGGGGGGGAGGAAGAGGAGGAACAGCCTCAGGTGTATCTGAGATTCGAAAACCAGGTCAGTACGTCCACCATACCTTAAGCCTGATTGAGTATGGCTCAACGTGGTTTGTCTGGGATCAACAGAGTGTTTCTGCATCTCCTGTGCTTGTCTGGTCCCACGTACGCAATCTAAAGCGGGAGGTGCTGCGGCTATCTCACAAAGGCGAGGAGTAAGGCTACCTCTCCCTTCCCCTACCTGCTGCAACCTCTTCTCAGATCGTTTTTTCCGTGCTCTCCCTAATCCCTTACATTACAACAAGTGGACGTGTTGTGGCTATCTCACACAGGTGAGTAACACGGGTGCTTCTCCCTTCTCCCGAGGTGACTTTTTAGTCAACTCAAAAGTCACCTTGTGGCTATCTCACGCAGGTGAGGAACACGGCTGCTTCTCCCTTCTCCCGGTGCCGGCCGCAACCCTCCTTCGATCTGTTCTCCCTTAACCGTCCTAACCCCACCACCTCCCACCTTACCCGAATGCACAGACGCATCCTACAGCGGACGTGCTGTGGCCGTCGCACACCGGCGAGGAGCACTGGTACTTCGCTCTCCCCCTTGCCTGCTGCAACCTCTCCTCATATTGTTTCTCCCATACCCTCCCTAACCCCATACCACCTGCAAAACCCCTTACAGACTCAAGCTATAATAGACGTGCTGTGATGAGCACCGGCGATGAGCACTGGCACTACTCGCTCCTCAGATCGTTTCTTCCATACCCTCCCTATCCCCATACCGCATGCAAAACCCCCTTCACAGGCGCAATCTGCAGTAGACGTGCTGTGGCTGTCGCACACAGGCGACGAGCACTGGTACTACTCGCTCGCCCCTGCCTGCTGCAACACCCAGGCCACCTTTGAGGGCAATGTGTGGCTGATCCGAGATGTGGCAACTAAAGAAGCGTCTCATAGGGTCAAGGTGAGACCTTGACGGTCACCCTGACTGTGGCTTCCTGCAAGACATGCTGAAATCCGTCATCCATCCACCCGGCCCTTTCTCTCTGCACAGTTAGTTTTCAAACCTTTGGCTTCCCACGTCTTGATGAATAGAAGGCACATGGAAGGCACGTGAAAGGCATGCGGAAGGCACGTGGAAGGCATGTGGAAGGCACGTGGAAGGCATGTGGAAGGCACGTGGAAGGCTGTCACATCCCAGATTGTCCTTCCCCCGTCCCCTGGCCTTCCATCGCACATCCTAAGAGGCCCTTTTCGTTCCCTGCCGGTGCCGCAATGCCTGCATGCGTGTTAATTACCTTATCTTTCAGATCAGCATGCGATCACCAGACTGGATGCACCTCATCCAATCCCGGCCCCTCCACCACCCACATGCACCTCCACCTCCTCCCTCGTCCTTATTCGTCTCCTTGGCCCCACTCATCTCTCACCTTCACACCAGCATTTGTTCAGTGTGCGGCAATCGCCAGAGGTGCCTCAATCTGCCACAGCCACGCCCACCCCCAGCACACGTGCACTCTTCCCCTCATCCCATTTTCTCCCCTGGCCCTCATTTATCCACCGCCCTCAGGTGGGCACGTGTTCGACACTTGGCAATCGCCAGAAGTACCTCATTCAGCCGCGCCCACCCCGCCACATGATGTCACAACCACAGCACAGGCTGCGTGGCGTTGTTAATGCAGCGGTTGCCGATGGTGGTGGTGATGGTGGTGATGGTGGTGGTGATGCTGATGCTGGTAGCAGCAGCGGCAAGCCACTTGTGGTGGAAGATGCAGCAGAGAGGGATGTGCGCGTGCCATCGTGCTACAAGCAGGTGGTGGCGACATCAGTGGGCATCCCTGTGGTGGCTTGCGGCCACGTGTGCATGGAAGCCCTGTGTGCGGCTGCTGACATCGTTGAGCACATGCTGGAGGTAAGGCGACGCACACTGTTGATATGGGCGTGTTGACAGGTAGGTGTAGCTCACATGGTGCATGAGGAGGTGAGCATTCCCGTAGTGGCGCTCGGGCATGTGTGCATGGAGGCCCTGTTTGCTGCTGCTGACACTGTTGAACAACAGATGCTGGAGGTTCCTTACGATGACGAACTACCAGCATCATTAAAAGCAGAACTACATTACTGCAGGTAACACATTGCAAGGTGCACCCGCCAGATCTGTTCCCCCAGTCGCATTGCCCAGTTACGAGGCAACCGATCAAGGTCAGGAGATGACTGCAATGCTCCTCCATTCCGCCTTTACCCCCCCTCCCCTGCCCATCAGCTCGCTCCTCCTGACCTGGTAAATGCTTACGAACCTAAATGGTGCAAGTTTGCAGTCATATGGAGAGTGCAGGTCACAACGCCAATGAAAGTCCGGTCCTCTCGCTTTCTCTTCCTTGAATCCCTGCCCTGCCAGCACTGCCCCGCTAGCCTTGTCGCACGACTACGAGACAACTGGTGCAAGGTGGCGGTGATCGGCAGAGCGCAGGTCACAACTGACATCCTGGAGCATTCGCATTTGCGGGGGAGTCGCACAGACGATGATAGGGACTGGGATTGCGAGGTGAGATGGGAGAGGAGAGAGGGAGCGAAGGATGAGAGGAGCATCAGATAGGCCGTGGGCAGGTCACAGTGGACATCCTGGAGCATTCACACCTTCGAGAAAGTCGCACGGATGATGAGAGGGACTGGGACTGCGAGGTGAGATGGGAGAGGAGGTGGGGAAGGAGTGACGCGTGGAGCAACGGATAGGTGGAGCGAGGTCACAAGGGGCATTTTGGAGCGTTTTTTTAGAATTCTAAAAAAATCTCTTGGAGCACTCACACCTTCGAGGAAGTGGCACAGATGATGAGAGGGACTGGAACTGCAAGGTAGTTGCTTGTTTTCTTTTGTGTCTCAAGAAGTCACTAAATTCTGCTGTTTAGGTTTCGCTCATCCATGTATGCATGCCCTCACGAACAGGTGCGTGGTTTGGGCGGCACCATGGTCATCCCTACGTGCTCGGTCGGCGAGGAAAATCTTCTGCGCTGCCCGGATGATCGGTACCGGGAAGAGAGCATACTGGTGCATGAGTTTGCACATACAGTCATGGAGGTATGTTGCCAGGCATACATGTACGCTGTTGTATTTAAAAACACATGGCGGATGTGTGAACAGGCTTCTTCTCACATGTGTTGGCTGGCATGTGGGCCCCACATGTACCGATGGTGCTGCCTTTGTTTCCTGCACCTTCCCGCCCTAATGTCTTCCTTGTAATGGGGCTTGTGTGGATGTATGTGTGCATGGATGTTTTTTTCTGCCTATGTATGGCAGGTCGGGTTTGACGAGTCCATGATGCACCGAATCTCTCAGTGCTTTTTGAACTCCAAGGTAGAAAAATCATTCCAGCATCCACCATACATTCCTTTTCATGGGTTTTTGTGTTCTTGATTAGCTCCACCTATTTCACCCTGTTTCTTTGCGCACCATCTCTCTTCTTCTCCCTGTTCCTTTCTTCACCACCTGTTCTGATCTCTCCCTCTCCTATTCAGCACCTGTATCCATCATCTGCATACATAGTGGCCAACAAGGAGGAGTACTGGGCGGAGGGTAGCCAGTCATGGTTTAATGCGAGTGTGCGTGAGGACGTAAATGGCGGGGTGATTACTCGTGAACAATTGATTTCTCATGATGCAGAGCTTGCAGGATTTTTTCTGGAAGTGTATGGGGATGGGAAGTGGAGATTCGATTTTACACCTATTGTTGTGGCCTTGCCAAATGTTGCACGCACAATTGTTTCATAATACAAAATTTTCGTACTTGTTTTACTACGGTGAGGTACAATTTATTCCCCGTAGAATCGTCGGTCGGTCCCCAGCCCCCCAACCCCGAAGTTAGCGTGGAACATACAGTTGCGAACAGCCTTCGTCCGAACTTCCACCACACTGTACCACGCGTTTATCCAACTTCACTACGTCAAATTCGTTTTGCAGACCACTCTACCACTCTAGCCGTCCGAACTTTCAGAAGTTTCGAGCTGTATGTTCCACGCCCTGAGCAGATGCTCTACATGCACTCGGGCAACAGAATCCACGGTTGTCAGCTCATGTACTATTTCTGTGACGTCACCGCGTCAACAAAGCTGCATGACGACAGCGAACCGCAAGCCGCATGGAACAATTTGAGCTGCGGGCCCGAGGGAGCTGTTTTTGAAAAGTTTTGCGTGATCGACCATCACTACAGTTTCCTGCCCAAGAAGCAAGACCACCAGCTGTGCGAGTGACCTGAGATATTTTGTGTCCTTTTCCTGAAGTCATGGGATTGGTCTGCTCGGTCTAGTCACCTCGCACCAGCAGCATCCACCACCAACCACCACTTCTGTCGTTCGGCAACTTCGAGTTTCGCGCAAGAGGCGTTGACCAATGGGAAGACAGTAGCTTGCCAGCACAAACCTCCCAGAGGTTGCACGAGCCTGGTTGGCTGGATATCTGGGGCACATGGACGCATTGGCCAGAACAAAACGGGCAGAATGCTGTGCGGGATGGAGGCTGGAAGCTGGGGTGTATCAGCTTCCTCCACAATTTGCAGTTTTGTAGGAGCTTAGAAATTTGGGTGTCGAGATTTCAAGGCTTCGTTCGAAGTGCATGCTGCGCGCAATTCGTCATTGCAGAGAACCGATGGCAATGGAACAAAACATGAGACATTTGCGCGTGGTGCAATTCAACATCCCCTCTTGTACTTTCCGGTGACAGGTGTGCTATGCTAGGGGAGCGCACCAGGGCTCATGCTAAGGCTTTGGGGGACTCTGTTTCTTCCGGAATTCCCCCCCCCCCCCCCCCCCCCCCCCTCCCCGGGTCTGTTTCGTCCGGATTGGAGGCTCCGCGATTTCTGTTTCGTCCGGAATCGGGGTAGTTAGTTACTATTAAACCGAGTTTCGGGTACAGTGTACTCGGATAAGAATACGTAACCTTTCACTACAGGTTGGATGATACATCAAAGCTTCTACAACTTGACTAAGCATGCATAGCCTGCAGAGTGCGCAAACTTTGTTAAAGCTACCTACATTCGTTAGACAACATCTCTACAAGCTCCGCCTACACAACTAAACTAAACCACACGGCCAGGCAATAATGTTCACATCTTGGTTGCATCCAAGCACGGGCGCCACTTCTTGATACCGGTGAACGTGTTGTACACACTAAGCCAATCCACATCATACTTCAACATCTTCACCATCATGAGGTCAGAGAGCCGCTCATCCGACAAGGTCGTCCGATCGGAAGACTTTATAATGTTCTGCCGACTGAAACCGCGTTCGCACTCGACGGTAGTCAACGGCAGAACAGCGACCGCCTTCCAGAGGGAGACGAGGGTGGGGTAGTACCTCTGCCATTCAAAGGTACCTAGGATGTTCGTAAGGCTCTGGTGGAAGCTCTCATCTCCCTTGCGCATACTGTGTCGTCAAGACCTGCCAAGGATGGAGAGCACAAACAAGCGGGAATGCCGCATAGTTCGATGGCATATTAGTGGATTCATGACACGTATAAAACCTGGACAGCAGGCAGGGTATGATGGGAAGGGCATTCGAGAAGTCTGCTACAAAGCCTGACCAGGGAAGTGGTTGAGGAAGAGCTCTTTCAATTGATGCGGGGAGGCGTCCATCCCCGCCTCGCGCTCTCCGGCCTTGTCCAGGTAGTACATCGCCTGGAAGAGCTTCACGCCGTCCAGATTCCGCAAGTTGCCCAGGCGGCGGAAGATGGACGCGTTCACTACATTGGCGTAGGCAGTTCCTATCTTGTTGCACTCCTCCAGCGTGGTGCCGAACGTGCCAGGTCCAACAGGACGCCAGTGCAGCTCGACGTTCTTCTCGACAGCTGCCCCGCTCGCATCCACTCCTTGGATCTTCATCACGGGCTTGTCCGTGTAACCGTAGTGCTCGATGAACGGCGAGAGGTGCAAGCTCTGCCCGTCTCCAAAGATCCGCACCGGGTCGATATAGCGGGCGGAGATGGTGAGAGTAACGCTCTCCATCTCCCTATTGATTGTGGTAATGTCCACCTGTGGGTATGGGCTGGGAACAGAGGGCCAGCATTTAAATGGAAACCATGGAAAGCGTGACTGCAACGCACTTAAACAACAAGGGGACCCAGCAAACAATTTTTCTGCAGGCTCAACTAACCTGCTGCTCCTGGAAAAGCTTGTTAAGGCCGTTTAGGAGCTCCAGAATGTCAGCGAGCAGGCGCACCATATACTAGAACTTAAATCCAGACGCGATCTCGTACATGTGTGGATCCTCCTGCATCCAGTACCAGAGGAGGGCTTGCATCAGGTCGTAAAAGCGGATGATGGCGTTCCCCCTCAACAGCCACCGTGTAGCATGGATACTGAGCACCACCAGGACAGTGCCCAGCACATCCTGCTGAATTTCGACGAAGTGGGAGTTGGAGACGGTGCTGCGGTTGAAGGCCTCCGCAGTGCCTCTCAGGCTGTTGTCGATTGCCTGCGGGTCAAGGATAGTGGTAGCAGCGTCTTTTGCTGCCAGAGACTCCTTGCAACTCACAGCCAGTAAAGGGAGTAAGCAGGAGCGGGAATATGGGGCGGAACATCTGACCAGGGTTCCTTACCGGTGAGCAACACAGTGGATTGAAACTAGCCATGGAACTTGCTGCCTGAGCCTTGTCACAAGGCCCGCGAGCTCCCCCACCATGACAGAAGCTCCGTTAGTTGCCATGCCGACGATGCGGTTGAGCGCCATGCCGTTGCTGTCAAGGTAGCTGGTGAGTGCCTTGTGCAACGTCACTGCGTCGCATTTCTCGACGTGAAGGAGCACGAGGAACTCCGTGACGACCTCACGCTCATGCAGGTACGTGATGAAGACTATCATGTGCTTGTTCCTCCCCCGGTCAGTGGACCCGTCAACTTGCAAGTTGTACCACTCGCTTTCCCGAATGCGCCTTAGCTGCTCCGCGTGCATGTACTTCGCCAAAGCCTCCATGAACTCGCACATGCCGTAGCTGCCAGGCACAACGACAAGAAAACAAAAAGTAAAGTTAGAACCATAGTTATAAAATGGGTTAAATGACGTCGCATTTTTGCAGCAAACCTAGCAAGTCTTAAACAGAAACTACTTACTGCGTGTAGTAGCGGCCGTACGATTCACCGTCCTGAAGATCGCGCAGTCCCTCACCCAGCAGGAAGTGGACGAGCGGAGCGTAGAAGTCGATGGGGCAGTCCTTCGTGATGATGAAATGTGCAATCCGCATGCACTGAATGACCGCCCTCTCATGAATCTCCGCGGATGTGAAGTCGAGAATCCGCTTCTGCTTCAGATCTGCGCCGTCCGCCAGCTTGGAGCGTGCCATGGACCACCAGTGGGTCTTCGAGCGTTCGTGGGCACGAATGCCGGTGATCTGGAAGTCACGGGCACCCGTCCCTTCTTCCCGTACCGCGTGTGCCCTCCTTCGCCTGCAAATCTCATACACACACAGTATTTCAATCCATGCATTCGCTCAGTCTTGTTATACACCAGCACAAGCCATTGAAAGACATCCTTCCAGCTCTCGTTAAAATGACGCGCGATCGCCTTCTTTGCCTCGGGAGTATCCTCTCAGTCGAGGAGATTGCTGAACTCCTTCGGCTTCCGCCCCCTCTTGCGGCTCGTGTCCACGGGCTTTGGAGTGCCCCACAGCGTTGTTTGCACAGTCACCTTCCGAGGCTTGTCCGCTGTCGCGGTAGCGGCGGACCTTCCAGCTCCCGAAGACGAGGCACCAGCAGGGTCCGTTTCGGCGGTGTTCTCGACCGGCAGCTGCATGGTTGACAAGACATCATTGTCCTCCACTAGCACGGTATGTGAGAAGAATGCCTGATCGGCAGTGTCTGGGAATCCTTCTAGGCCCCCGCCAAATCGATGAGGCGGGACGTCGGACATGGCTACGTGAAACTAACGCGGGAGCGTTGATGCTCTGACTACTGGTGGGGAAGATCTGGTGAAACATGCTCAAATATACGGTCCACTTGGTGGGTGGGTGATCTGGTGGAGTGCGGTCTCGAGCAAGGGGTGGAACGAAGTGGAAGGTGGGCTGAGCAAGGTAGGAGCGAGCCGAGCGATGACAAGTTTACGTGCAGCAGAGCAGAGTTGTAAACGGGTGGCGTAGACCGTGGATGGAAGTGGAGCAGGCAAGGCGCGCAGCGCACGATGGCTGCTGGACGTTGTTGACTTAACAAAAGAGCGGGAGCGAGGGACGAAGAAAGGAAAGGAAACGAAAGGAAAGGAGGGATGGATGAACGTTGGGTCAGGCAGACGGCGGGCAGCCATTGTTGTGCTGCTGCTGCTGTGTGTGTGGTACTGCTGTGCTATGACGTGACGACGTGCGTGACGTCTAGTGCTGCTGCTAAGCTGTACGTGACTCTGAGTGGGTAAGTTTGTGACTGCACAACGCGCTATACGGCTAAGGTTAAGATCAAGGTACATGCATTGCAGTCCTTTATCACTGACCAATCAATAGCTCTCCTTTGTTCCACTCGAGGCAAAAATAAGCTGTTGGGCTGTGCCTTAGCGGCACAGGTCAGACCTTGCTGGACTTGTGATTGGACGGGAAGTACAACGACGCAGTTATGGGGATAGGCCCTGTAAGGGGAGGGGGGGGCGCGGGCTGGCAGGGGCGTCCGGATTGGACCTTTGGCGATTTCTGATTCGCCCGGACCCCCTACCTACTTCTAAAAATTCTGGAATCTCGCGTAGCTGTACCCGTTCAAATTCCGGAACGGGGGTCTCGCCAACTCTTAATGTTTTTTTATTCCGGTAATTACCCTTCAAAAATAAGGCCTGGAGCGCACCTCAAGCTTCTCCAGGGTTCCGTTCTGATCTGACCCGAACTTCCGACAGGAAGTGGAGGTGGAAGTAAACGACTCACTCCACCGCACACCACCACCACACAGCATCGCTCCACCCCCATCAAGCCGACACACGCAGGCGACAGCATCACCCCATTTGCCTGATGGGCACCAAACTCATCGTTGTCAACTTCACTTCACTCGCATCGTCTGTCAGCGAGAATCACGGCAGAGACAGCAGTTATTGATATTTCCCGTCGGCTATTTATCTTCCTAGCTCGTGGCATTTCCAGCCGATACTATTGGATTGGACGCCTTACATTACATATGCGCGAAGTAGCCAACATTAGGTCTCGTGGAGCCAGTTAGGGTGATCGTAACCTTATTTTCATTCTTCGCTTGTAGAGCCAGCGACTTGACAGAGATGGTTGGCAAATCTAGCATATGTACCAGAGATCTTAGGAAGGGGTAAATCAACCTTACCGCATTTGAATCCAAGCGCGTCGCTTTGTTAGTAGAGTGTCACTCAGTTCGGCTGATAATTTGATTTTGAAACGCTCACAACCTACGATGAAACCCTCAGACGATTGGCGGCAATCTTGGCAGGCGCTTATCAAGTGCGATCCCGGTGACTGCTGACCCAACGCAAGAGTTAAGTGTTCATAACAAGGAGAATAAAGCCTTAGCTCTTCCAACTTCTCGAGTTGGTGTTTCTGGAGCATTTTTTCATTTCCTTGGTTGAGTTCCCCTCCGTTACCATCACCGAAGGGTTTCAGTAACTTCGTCAAACGCGCCGCCATCTGCCGCGATGGGCGCGCAGCAGTCCGCGCATCATGGCCGCGGAGGCGTCAAGCTCCGCCGCCGCACGAGCGGAATGGGCGGAATGACTCCGCACGAGCTGCAGGCGGCGGGGACCGACATTTCGCACGCCGTCGCGCAGAACCAGGTGCTGCAGCAGCAGCGCGCCGAGCACCAGCAGCGCGTTGCGCAACAGCAGCAGGTGTCCCCGCAGGTGAAGGCACTGGCGCAGGCGCAGGCGCAGGGGCAACCGCAATCCCCGGGCACGCAGCACTCACCAGGCGGGGGCCCAGTTGGCGGGATCGGCGCGGGTGGCGGCGGAGTGGGGGGCGCCGGCGCGGGTGTGCCCCCGCGGGACTTTTCCGCAGGTTCGGAGTCGCGGCGCCGAACCAAGGTGTCAGCTTTGGAGGTGCCGCCGTGGGAGATCGTGGCGCATCTGACGGAGAGCGACTGGATCGCGCTGAAGGCGTGGATCGAGGCGGGATGGAGGTAAGCGCGGGACGCGGGAAGGGGAAATGTTCAGTCGGAATTGTGAGGAGAGTATGACGCCGCCATCGGAACGCGAACCGTACAGTTATAGGCGCCGTATGGCGGCGTGAGAAGAGTTTAAGAAGAGTTTAAGCCGAGCCGTAGGGCCGTTGAGAAGGAAACGCTGGGTAGGAACGTACATGGAATGACGTTTCCTGCCCACGATTTTGTAGGGTGTTTTTGAGAATTCTAAAAAACGTACATGGAATGACGTTTCCTGCCCACGATTTTGTAGGGTGTTCTTGAGAATTCTAAAAAACGTACATGGAATGACGTTCCCTTCCCACCTAGTCTTTCGTTTCTGCGCGGGACGTGGCAGCGTGGTGTTGTGAAGGTCCAGATCGTTTGTAGGTCGCAAATCGCGAGTGATCGGCAGGTGGTCGTCATCGGGATACAGTCGCCATTGAGTCTACTTTTGAGTCGACTCAAAAGTTGATCGCCAGGTGGTCGCGATCGGGAGACAGTCGCGATTGAGGGCGTTATATAGGTTCCTGGCTGCTTTGCGCTGGCAGGCGCGGCGCATTAGGGTTTGCGCTGACCAGCGCGGCGCATTGAGATTCGCGGCGCATTAGGGTTTGCAATGCAGTGGACGCTGCCTCGACGGCTTTACTCGGCGCGTGGTCACAAAGAAAATCGAGCTGGACAGTACAAGGAAAAAAAAAAAAAAAAAAAAAAAAAAAAAAAACGAATTGTGAGCGCCATTGATTGCAGTGTAGCCCTTATCTTTCTTCACTGCCACAACCCATTCCCTTCCTAACTTTTCTCCCCATCTCCTCCCTCCTTTCCCCCTCCCTCTTCCCCTACTCCCCCCCTCCCCACTCCCCCCTCCCCCCCTTCCCTCCTGTCCCCCCCCACCCCTCCCTCCCCCCCCAGATGCCGCAAGTGCGGCCATCTGAGAGACGACGGCGCGGACCACCCCAAGACCCTGGCGCTGCTGCACCGCTGCGGCATCGTCCCCCCCCACCACCCCCACACCCCCTCCCACGCGCTCTCCCATGCCTCCTCTGCCCCCGGCTCCCCAAGCTCCGCCCAATCCGGAGCTGCCAGGTGGCAGCAGCAGCAGCAGGGGATGGGGCAGCAGGGAATGGGGCAGGGGTCTGGGCATTCCCCGTATGGTGCTGTGGAGTATTCTAAGCCGTCCCCTGACGGGCAGATGGAGTTTTTATCTGACCATTCGGGGGGCAGGAGTTCTCGAGGGGGGTCGCCCGGCCACCCCATGCTTCGCACCGCAACGGGCAGCAGGACCGCGTCTTATATGGGCTCGCCTGGGCGGCAGTTTGGGGGAGGGGCGGGGGGGATGGGCGGGGATATGGGAGGGGGAATAATGGGAGGAGGGGGGGACGGGAGAAGCACGGGGCGAATGAGCAGGTCGACCCACTATGGGTCGGATTACAGTGTGAGGGGCATGGGGAAAGACAGCATGGGAGGGGGCGGCGGAATGGGCGAGGGGATGGGCGGGGGAATGGGCGGAGCAGGGGGGATGGGTATGGATGCGTGCCCTAGACACCTGGCGCCCTCCCACCACCTCATGAGCGGGGAAGGGCCCGTCAGCAGAAGCTTCCACGAGGGTTCCACATGGGAGATGCGGCGAGGTGGGGGAGGGGGGATGGGACCCGGTGGCGGGATGGGGGCGGACGGGGGAGGAATGGGGGGAGTGGGGGGAGGGGGAGGGATGGGTCCGCCCCCGTTGATGCGCACTATGAGCATGTCCGAGGCGCTGCAGAGGAAGCTGCTGGCCGCTATCACCCGCGCTCACCAAGTGTACTTCATTGATAAGGTGAGAGCTTGCATACAAGATGCAGAGAAGGGCTTTTCAGGCCTCAGAAGTTTCCCTTCGCCACCCTTGCCCTTCCCTTCCCCTCCCCTCCCCTCCCCTCCCCTCCCCTCCCCTCCCCTCCCCTCCCCTCCCCTCCCCTCCCCTCCCCTCCCCTCCCCGCCCCTCCCCTCCCCTCCCCTCCCCCCCCCTCCCCTCCCTTCTCCTTCCCTCCCCTCCTCTTCCCTCCCCCACTCCCCTTTCTACCTCCCCTCCCTTGCCCTCCCCTGCCCTCCCCTCTCTTCTCCTCCCATCCCCTCCCCTCCCCTCCCCTCCGCTTCTCTCCCCTACCCCACCACCGCAGGAGCCCAACGGCAGTCTGGTGTTTGACTATCTGCTGTCGGCCTTGCTGGAAGCCATTGTCGTACAAGTGAGAGGCCTCAACCTCACCCGCTCTCCCATTCTCCTGCTCTCTTCACTACCCCGACCCCCGCTCTCCCACATGGCAGGAGCCCAACGGCAGTCTGGTGTTTGACTACCTGCTGTCAGCGCTGCTGGAGGTCACCGAGTCCAGCTTTGGGTTCATCTCCTCCGCTCTGCTCAAGGCGGACGGCACGCCATACCTCAAGGTATGTGGGTAGGCATGCTCAACGCTAGCACTCGCCTGTAGCATGGATCACACCCCATATGGTGAGTGCTGCTGAGGTCCCTTCCAAGCTTTGTGTTTATTCCCTTCGCCCTGCTCGAGTCGGACGGCACGCCATACCTCAAGGTGTGTGCATGGCATGGTGTTGCAGTAGGCTGTAGTGGGCTACAGTAGGCTGTAGTAGGCTACAGCAGAACAGCAGGCTACAGTAAACTGCAGAAGGCTGCAGTAGGGTACAGCAGGCTACAGCAGGCTACAGTAGGCTGCAGTAGGTTACAGCAGGCTACGGTAGGCTTCAGTAGGCTGCAGTAGGTTGCAGTAGGCTACAGTTTGGCATGGAGCAGGGTATGCAGCCAATGCGCAGAAGGGGCTGGGGTTCTCACAAACTTGTAACACGCTGCACGGCACCGTGATGCTGTCAGGCCCACCTTTTTCCCTCTCCCCATCTGTCTGTCCTCTCAACCCTTGGTTAGATCGCCTGTCTCCTCGCCCCAGGCCCGTGCAGTTACCAACGTGGCGTGAGCCAAGTGGTACACAGCCAACGAACATGGTACTGTGGTGCTGTCGGGGCTGCTCCATCCATCCCCCCTTTAACCCGCTTCCCCACCCGCTCCAATGCGCTACAAGGGTCTGGTGCTCACCAAGATGAACACCTCGCACAGCACGCACGCATGGTGGTGCTGTTGGGGCAGCAGGTGATCTGCTTGCTCCAATTCCCTCCTCGTTCCCCCACCTTCCCGAACCCCACAGACGCACGCAATGACCATTGTGGCGTGGACGAAGGAGCTGAGAGCATGGTACGCGGCCAATGCGCACAAGGGCCTGATGTTTACCAACATGAACACATTACACGGCACGGTGGTGCAGTCAGGGCTGCACGTCATCTGCTTGCTCCGTTTCCTCTCGTGCTCTCCCACCTTTCCCCTCCCCCCCCTCTCTCTTCTCTATCACCCAGAACAGACCCACGGCATGACCAATGTGGCGTGGACCAAGGAACTAAGGGCATGGTACGCGGCCAACGCGCACAAGGGCCTGGTGTTCACCAACATGAACACGCTGCATGGCACGGTGGTGCAGTTAGGGCTGCACGTCATCTGCATTCCCCCTGGTGCTTCCCCACCTTCCTGAACCCCTCTTTTGCATCCCACAGACCCACGCGATGACAAACGTGGCATGGACCAAGGAACTAAGGGCATGGTACGCGGCCAACGCGCACAAGGGCCTGGTGTTCACCAACATGAACACGCTGCATGGCACGGTGGTGCTGTCGGGGCAGCAGGTGATCTCCAACGACGCCAGGAACGACCCGCGTGCCAGAGGAGTGCCCCCGGGCCACCCCGTGATCGAGAAGTTCATGGGGATTCCGCTCTACACAGGTGGGCTCTGTGTGTGATTTTCTGCGTGTTTGCCTGTATGTCTGTGTGTCTGTGTGTGTATGTGTGTGTCTGTGTGTGTATGTGTGTGTCTGTCTGTGAGCGTGTGTGTGTGGCAACTGCTCTACACGGTGGTGCTGTCGGGGCAGCAGGAGATCTCCAACGACGCCAGGAACGACCCCTGCGCGAGGGGAGTGCCCCCTGGGCCACCCTGTGATGGAGAAGTTCATGGGGATTCCGCTCTACACAGGTGGGTGTGGAGGACCTCCCTATCCGCAGGTGTGGGGGTGTAGGTGTGGGTGTGGTGGGTGGGTGTGTGTGGGCCTCTGGGCCAACCCGTGATTGATGAGTTTATGGGCATCCCGCTTTACAAAGGTGGGCATGTGCGTGCTTGTGTGAGGAGGGAGGAGAAATGGGGAGGGAGAAGGGGGGGGGGGGGAGGGATAGGTGTGTGTGTGTGTCCACACGCGGGTGCTTGTGTGTTGGGGGTGGGAAGTTTTTCCTCGCTTTGGAGATAGAGCCGTCCTGTGTCTTCCACCCCTCCCCCTGCCCTTTCTCTCACCCTCCCTCGTCCAAATAGGCGCGGAGTTGATTGGGATATTCGGGGTGGCGAACGGGATGCAGGGCTATGGCGAGAAGCTGGTGGAGGAGATAGAGCCTCCGTTTCTTCCCCCACCGCCCTTTTCTCTTTTATCGGCACGGAGCTGATCGGGATATTCGGGGTATCTTATTGGCATCTTTGCTTTTGAGGCACGGAACTGACGGGCATTTTTGGAGTGGCGAACCGCATGCAGGGGTACGACGAGCAGCTGGTGAAGGAGATCGCGCCTATCTCAATCCCCCTTGTCTTCAATTTGAACCACCTGCAGGCACGGAACTTATTGGCATCTTTGGAGTGGCGAACCGCATGCAGGGGTACGACGAGCAGCTGGTGAAGGAGATCGAGCCGCTGACGATGACGATAGCACAGATGATCTACGCGGTCAATGAGAGGAAGAGGAGGAAGGAGGCGGAGCTGCACCTGTCCAGCGTGGTGCAGGTGCGTGCAAGGGAGGGAGAGGTAGAGTGCGGTTGAGGGGAACCTCATGGAGCTGCTGAAGATGACGATAGCTCAGTTGATCTGCACTGTGAACGAGCGGAAGAGGAGGAAGGAGGCCGAGCTGCACCTGTCCAGTGTGGTGCAGGGGAGAGGAGAGAGATAGGGTGTGCACATGAGGGGAGCGAGGTAGGGAACTAGGAGTGGGTAGGGAGATGGCATGGAGGTAGCAGCAGGCAGGGATGACTGTCGGGGAGATGTGAACAAGGGCTTCGAATGAGCAAGACTCCTCCGGAACCCAAAATCCCTGACCCTGCCGACACTCCCGGAGCAATGGCTTCCCCTGCCGCCACTCTCTCGTCGTCCCACAGCTGGAATCTCACCCTCTCTCCACCAGGTAGCCAAGGAGGGAATCTCTCAGTGGCCATGTGGCATCCATGAGCCTGTCTGCGCGCCTGATGTTCGGCTATGCGCCCACCCCTGCTCCTGCTGACAGCAGCACCGCTGCTGGTGGCGCTGCTGCTTGTGGTGCTGCGGCTGCTGGTACTGCCGGTGGTGCTGCTGGTACTGCCGATGGTGCTGCTGGTGGTGGCATCGTCATTCATGACGGTAGCAGTTAGATGCCTCCTTCCTCCTGCCCTTAACCTCTCACCATCCTCCCTCCTCTCCTCTGTGTTACCCAACAGGTGGCCAAGGAGGGCTCTGTCGCACAGCGGCCATGTGACATCAATGAACCTGTTGTTGCTGTCTCTCTGTCTCACAGCGGCCACATCACATCCATAAACCTGTCGGCGCGCCAGACGTTCGGCTATGCGCCCCAGCCGCGACAGCAACACCGTCACTCCACCCCCCATCCTCTGCCCTCAATTCCCCCTCCCGCTTCCTTCTCTCCATTGCAGGTGGCCAAGGAAGGAATCATGTCTCTGTCTCACAGCGGCCATGTGACGTCAATGAACCTCTCGGCGCGCCAGATGTTTGGCTATGCGCCCACGCCCGCCGACAGCACTGCTAGCAGCGCTGCGGGCGGCGGCAGCATCATCAGCCGCGACAGCAACAACGTCACTCCGCCCCCCAACCTGCAGTTCCAAGACCTCATGGTCGAGATCAACGGCCAGGGGGACTTCCTTGCCAGAGGTGAGAGGAAAGGGGGGAGGGAGAGGGAGAGGGGGGGGTGTTGAGCTGCTGGTGGTGGAGGCGTTGGGGTGGGAGATAGAGCCCCCCAACCTGCAGTTCCAGGACCTCATGGTCGAGATCAACGGCCAGGGGGACTTCCTGGTCAGAGGTGAGGGGAGTCTTGCGGGCTAGGAGGGGATGTACAGGTGAGTGGCAACAGCCCACCTGCAGTTCCAGGACCTCATGGTCGAGATCAACGGCCAGGGGGACGTCTTGGCTAGAGGTGAGAGGGGAGGGGGGAAGGAGAGGGAGAGGGGGGAGAAGGGTGGACTGCTGACGGTGGTGGAGGTGGGGCGGGAGATAGAGCCCCCCAACCTGCAGTTCCAGGACCTCATGGTCGAGATCAACGGCCAGGGGGACTTCCTTGCGCGAGGTGAGGGGAGGCAGGGGGAGAGGGGGAAAGAGGGAGAGGAACAGGGCCTATTTTTCAAGGGTAATTACCCGGAATGAAAAAACATTCAGAGTTGGCGCTGGGCTCGTTCCGGAATTTGAACGGGTAGAGTTATTGGGGTTTCCGGAATTTATAAAAGTGGTGTTGCGGGGGGCTCCGGGCACATCAGAATTCGCCGGGGGGGCAATCCGGATGCACCTGCCAAGAAGTAACCACCCCCCCCCCCCCCCCCCCCTTCCCTCCTCCTCCTCGCACCCGGGGTGGCAAAGACATTTTTCCGGCTAAGTCCCCAACATCCACAAACAATCCCCACGGACGGATCCCCCGAACCCAGGAAATTCGACTAAGTCCCTCACAGACAGTTATAACTCCTCCCACTCCCGCACAACTCAGAAAATTCGGCTAAATCTCCAACTCCCAGCAGCATTCCTTCCTTCACCCCTCAACCAAGCAAAAATGGCTAAGTCCCCCCAAACACAGACATGCCGTGCTCCTCCCACCCGCACCACCCGAAGTCCAGAATTTTCGGCTATGTCCGTCACAGCCAGGAACATTCCTTCCTTGACCCTAGAGGAATTTGACGAAGTCCCTCCCAAACAGAGATACTCCTCTCACCCACACCTAGAGATGGGTAGCATGCCGAGCCTGGCTCGACTCGGCTCGACTCGACCTCGAGCCAGGTAAAAGTCGAGTCGAGCCGACTCAACTCGACCCGAGCCGGCTGCCCCAAAATGGTTGGCTCGACTTGGGGGTTCAGGGTCGAGCCAAGGGTCGGCTCGACCTTGGCTCGGCTCGGCTCGACTCGCCAAAAGGAATTTCGTCTTCCGTTGCGGTCGAATTTTGACCCCCCGCTGGCAAGCCATGCGCTTCAGGAGTCGAGCCAAATTCGAGCCAAAGTCGAGCCGGCTCGACTTTGGCTCGCCATGAAATTTGCGACGAGTCGAGCCAAGCTGCGCGGCTCGACCGGCTCGACTCGGGTCGAGCCGGCAAAAAAAAAACCCCAGCTCGACTCACCAAAACGGCGAGTCGAGTCGAGCCGAGTCGAGCCAGGCTCGGCATGCTGCCCATGTCTACCCACACCCACGAAACTTAGAATATTCGGCTAGCCCTCACACACAGCAGGAACATTCCTGCCTAACCCTGTAACCTAGAGAATTTGGCTGAAGTCTCCCGTGCACAGAGATACTCCTCTTACCCAGACCACCCAAAACCTAGAATATTTGGCGTCCTTCACAGCCTGGGAAATTCCTCCTACAGCCCCCCACGCCCACGCAGCTAGGAAGATTTGGCTAAAAACGTTTAGCCACGCTAACCCCCTCCCCCTTCCCGCAACCCAGAAGAAAGCTGCGAAGGTAGCTGCCACAGATTCTACCCTACTTAAGCGGGTTTGTCAGGAAACTAGCGAAAGAAACTCTTGTTCTTGGCACGCCGCAAATGTAACCCTGTATGGAACCTTGAACATCGTGACCTGTCCGAATCAATGTTTGGTGTAACTCGGCTAAAAGATTTTTTGTACCCGAATCCGGATGAAACAGAAATCAACTACCCTGAAATCCGGACGAATCAGGGTACAGGGGGGTGGGGAATCCGGGAGAAACAGAGTTCCAAAAAACCTCAACGTGAGCCCTGGAGAGGAAGAAAGGGGAAAGGGGGGAGGTGGGGAGGAGAAGGAGGGGATGGGAGGCGTGGGGAGGGATTTAGCCTGCCGGCTGGTAAGGAGATGGAGAGGTGCAAGGGGAAGGTGCGCAAGGGCGTGGGCAGGCCAATGATGGATGCCTCTTCTTTCCCTTTCCCCTTTCGCTGTTGGGTACCCCTGTAGCTGCAGATGTAGACGCGGCGAGTGGCAAGGTGCACAAGGGCATCAGCAGGCGCATGGACGGCAGCACGTTTCCTCACTCCCTGGAGCACTTTTGCCATTTTATCCCCTCTCTCCGTCCATACCTCCCAGGTCTGGACGCGGCAAGTGGCAAGGTGCACAAGGGCATCGGCAGGCGCATGGACGGCAGCACGTTTCCCCTGGAGGTGTCGGTGTCCAAGGGCACGTACGACACTGTGTTCTATGTGGCGGTGCTGCGAGACATTTCTGAGCGACTGGATGCTGAGAAGAAGCTCAAGGTGCGTCTGTGGTGCTGCTGCTGACCAGACTTGTGGACTTGAGAGAGGCGAGTCTCTGAGTTTCCCCTGGAGGTGTCGGTCGGTGTCCAAGGGCACGTACGACACTGTCTTCTTCTATGTGGCTGTATTGTGGGATATCTCAGAGCGACCGAAGAAGCTCGCAGTTCGTTGATTGGGCTGTTGACTAGAAGGTTGGCCTATTGTTTTTTTTCCTGAAGGTGTCAGTGTCCCAGGGCACGTACGACACAGTCTTTCCTTGTCCTCCCGCTCCTTTCCTGTTCTGCGTCTCACTACCCTACCTCTCCACCCCGCTTTTGAGTCGACTCAAAAGCTACCCTACCTCTCCACCCCCCCACCGCATTTGCCTCTGTGAGCAGGAGAGTGAGGAGCGGTGGCTGTACGCGCTGTCAGGCAGCAATGACGGCGTGTGGGACATGTCTTCTATCCACTCACCTCACTTCTTATTCGATTGCCACACACCCCTTATTCTATCCTACCTGCGAGCTGCGAGCAGGAGAGCGAGGAGCGGTGGCTGTACGCGTTGTCGGGCAGCGACGACGGCGTGTGGGACTGGAACGTGCGCGACAACACCATGTTCTTCTCCGACCGCTGGAAGCAGATGCTCGGGTGAGTTGTCTATTTTTGAGGTGCCTCAAAAATAGGAATGTGCGAGACAACTCCATGTTCTTCTCCGACCGCTGGAAGCAGATGCTGGGGTGAATTGTCTATTTTTGAGGCGCCTCAAAAATAGGAACGTGCGAGACAACACCATGTTCTTCTCCGACCGCTGGAAGCAGATGCTGGGGTGAGTTGATTCGCGCTCGGCAGATGCGTTTGCTGGAATATGGTGGCAGCAAGGGTTCTCTTTGACTGCAACTTGTGCGACAGCACCATGTTCTTCTCCGACCGCTGGAAGCAGATGCTCGTGTGAGTGAGAGTGTGCAGGGCAGGCTGATGGGCTTGCATGCTGCTAGGATAGATTCGTAGTCGTAGACTGCGAGAGATTTTTTTAGTCGACTCAAAAATCACCTGCAGATGCTGAGCTTGGATGCTGCTAAGATAGACTCATAGACTGCGAGACCAACATGGATCTGAAATCGCACCTGGAGGACACAATCCCACCTCCCCCCTCCCTCCCTCTCCCAAACCGCCCCCCGCCCCCCTCTTCCCCCAGCTACGAGCCTGGGGATATAGGCTCAACCCTAGACGAGTGGGACCGACTGCTGCACCCTGAAGATAAAGATCGAGCGTACGCGGATCTGAAAGAGCATCTAGACGGTGTCACGGCGCAGTTTGTGAACGAGCAACGGTTGAGATGCAAGGACGGCAGCTACAGGTGAGATGAGATGGAGTCATTTGAACGGGTGATGAGATTGAAAGGAAGGAAGGGGTTTGGAGCAAAGGCATAATGGTGTCGGGCAGCTACATAATGGTGTCGGGCAGCTTAATGATGGTGTTGGGCAGCTACATAATGGTGTCGGACAGCTACGTAATGGTGTTGGGCAGCTACATAATGGTGTCGGGCAGCTACGTAATGGTGTTGGGCAGCTACATAATGGTGTCGGGCAGCTACATAATGGTGTTGGGCAGCTACCTGATGGTGTCGGGCAGCTACATAATGGTGTTGGGCAGCTAAACAATGATGTTGGGCAGCTACATAATGGTGTCGGGCAGCTACATAATGGTGTCGAAGCTATTTAGACCGATGTGTCCCCCACTCCGGTGGTTCCTGCACCGTGTAGCAATTTAGACCGGCGAGTCAATGAGACAAACTCCACTTTCTCCCCCGAGGTGGTTTTTGAGTCGACTCAAAAATCACCTGAGGTGGTCACTCCCCTCCCCTCTCCTCCCTCTTGCAGCAAAAAAACACCCCACCCCCCCCCCCCCCTCCTCTCTCCCCCATACCGTCATGCCCGGTGGTTCCTGCTCCGTGGCAAGGTGCTGAGCAAGACAAACACCCCCCCACCCCCCCCCCCCGCTCCCCTCCCCGCTCCCCCCATTCATCTTCAGCCAGGTGTTCCCTCCACCGCGGCAAGGTGCTGAGTACGACGGAACAAGACAAGGACCAGATGCTACCTAAACCCTAAGCAATGAGACACCCCACCCCACCGCACCCCACCCCACCCCACCCCTCCCCACCCCTCCCCACCCCTCCCCACCCCTCCCCGCCACCCCCATTTGACTCCCCCAGTTGGTTCCTCCACCGCGGCAAGGTGCTGAGCAAGACGGAGGACGAGGGGGTTTGACAAGCACCTAACCTCTGCCTACTTTACTCCCCCTCCCACTCCCCACCCTCTCCCACCACCACCAGTTGGTTCCTCCACCGCGGCAAGGTGCTGAGCAAGACGGAGGACGGGGAACCGCTGCGGTTCGTGGGGACGCACACAGATATCACAGAGCGGAAGATGTTCGAGCAGGGCATGGTGCAGGCGAAAGATGAGGCTGAACGGGCGTCTCAAGCTAAAGCAGGTGTGTGTGGTGTATAGGGGTTAGTGTGGGGGCGCTGGTGCACTTGGTAGGAGGCACGCAGCATCACGGAGAGGAAGATGTTCGAGCAGGGCATGGTGCAGGCCAATGACGAGGCGGAGAGGGCGTCACAGGCCAAAGCAGGTGGGTAGAGGGGGTTTGATGAACGGCATGACAGCTCTCCTTCTCGACACCAACCTGACCCCCGAGCAGCGCGACCGAGTGATCACGATCCGCGACTCGGGTGACATGCTGCTGCAGAAGAGCAGCGGGGAGCAGGTTTTGGAGGGTTCACTTCACACCATACCAAGGGGTTCACTTCACCATCCAACTCCCTTTTCGCTCCCCGTTCCCCTACATTGTGTGTGGTTTCCTTTTGAGGCGCCTCAAAATGTGTGCTTTCCTTTGTGCTTCCAGATTTCCTGGCAACCATGTCCCATGAGATCCGGACCCCCATGAATGGAGTAGTCGGGATGACAGCTCTCCTTCTCGACACGGACTTGACTCCCGAGCAGCGCGACCGCGTGATCACGATCCGGGATTCGGGCGACATGCTGCTGCAGATCATCAACGACATCCTCGACTACTCCAAGATCGAGTCCGGCAAGCTGGAGATCGAGCAGACGCTCTTCAACGCCATGCAGGCCGTGGAAAGAGTGGCCGAGCTGCTGATTCATAACGCTGAATCCAAGGGATTGGAGGTGGTCATTGAGATCGGCCCCGACACGCCTACTTTCCTGGTTGGGGACTCGGGACGGACGCTGCAGGTACGAACCGGGCACTGGGAGGGTGGAGTCTAGCCTAGAGGTATGGTCGCAGACAGAGCCACAGGGAGATCGAGCAGACGCTCTTCAACGCCGTGCAGGCTGTGGAGCAGGTGGCTGAGTTGCTGATTCATAACGCGGAGTCCAAGGGGCTGGAGGTGGATTAGAGATCGGCCCGCTTCCTCCCACTTTCCTGGTCGGCGACTTAGGACGGACGCTGCAGTGCAGGTATGTACCGGATGGGGTTGGGCAGCAGGGGACTACGAGGGTGATGGCAGGGTTTGGTGCCGTTCGTGAACGCTATGCTGGGTGAGTGAGTTGCTGCTGAGCTAATGATCCACAACGCTCAAGCGAAGGGGGCTCCTTGTGCTGCTAGGGATTGGGCCGGTTGCTCCCACATCGTGGTTGGGGACTCAGACGGGGCGCTGCAGGTATGCGTGCGGTGTCCGGTCGATGGGGGTGTGTGAGAAAGTTCGGGAGCGAGAGGTCGGAGGAATGAAGGGTTGGAACGTTAGGGGGCAGTAGTGCGGCTCAATGCAGGCTCATTGGACACCTCCCTATGCCTAACTCCCCACCACCTCCTCCACGCCCTCTCTCTCCACCCCCAGGTGCTCGTCAACCTCGTGTCCGACGCCATCAAGTTCACCAAACGTGGACACGTCATCTTCCATCTCCCTTTGCTCCCTCCCATGCCTTTCCAACCTCAGGTGCTCATCAACCTCGTGTCCAACGCCATCAAGTTCACTGAAAAGGGCCACGTCATCTTCCGCCTCTCCTCCCACACCGCCCCTCCCCTCCCCTCCTCCTCTTCCTCGTCCTCTCCTTCACACCCTGCACTCCCAGCCCCCTCCTCCTCCTCTTCCACCATCACCACCCTCACCACCACCACTAACAATAGTGGGCCGATGACGGCGCAGCAGTTCTGGGTGTGTCAGGTCATCGACACCGGGATAGGCATTCCCAAGGAAAGGCTCGGCCGGCTCTTTACTAAGTTCTCTCAGGTAAGCGCAGAGAGGAGGATGTTTGACTCTTGAGTTGAGGCTTAGAGGAAGAAGGCTATTCTCTTCATATGGCAGGCTTTTATTGTACCTCTCACATTGCCGCTCTGCCTCACGCTCTCTCCTCTTGCTCTGCCCCACCCTCTCACTCTCTGCACCAGGTCGATGCATCAACCACACGCAAGTTCGGAGGCACGGGACTGGGTCTTGCCATATCCAAGCAGGTAAGTTGGTGGGTGGTTGTCTCGTTTTGAAGTCGTAACGAGGCAGGTGGCCTTGGGGGCGATTGGCTTTAAAGAAGCGGAAGCACCCGCATGCCCTGCCTTTGAGTGCTGTCACCACTTGGTGGATTGCCATTGCCAGCAGGCTCCATCAGGAGGACTACTGGCGCTTCAGCAGTGCTACTGCTTGCGTTTTTTTGCCACTGTGTGAATGATTTGGCCACGTGGCAAGGTGCATTAGGCGCATCTTCTCTCCTCGCTTCGATTCATAAATCGTCTCTCCTAAACTTTCTGCTTGTGGACCTTATGAGTGGCAGCAGATCCATAAGCGAGGAGAGAAGATGCGCCTAATGCACCTTGTTCACCGCGCACCTGTACTTTCCAGCACTCTCCCTCACAATCTCCCATCTCATCTCTCCCGGCCCCCTCTCCTCTCCCCTCTGCCCCTTTCCCTGCTGCAGCTGGTAGAGCTGATGGGCGGCAGCATAAGTGTAGAGAGCGAGTTCCACGTGGGTACCACATTCACAGTGCATCTGCCAATCACCTCACCCTCTCGTCCTTCTCTCTCTCCCACTTCTCGCCTCTCCTGCTTCTCCCCTCGCTTCCCTTTCCCTCTCACCCTGCAGCTGGTAGAGCTGATGGGCGGCAGCATCTCAGTGGAGAGCGAGTTCCACGTGGGGACCACGTTCACCGTGCACCTGCCAATCAACTCGCACCACCCCGCGTACACGTCAGCGCTTTCCCTGTCCATGTCATCGCTGGCCAATCAGAGCAGCAGCCTTGTCGTGTCTGAGTCAGCAATCCCCCTCAGCCTCCCTTCCTCGTCCTCCACTGGGAGTGGTGCTGGGGGAGGGGGGGGAGCGGGAGGAGGGGAAGGGGGGAGAGGGGAGGGGAGGAGGTTGCCGTTGTCAACTGGCAGTATCCCATTGGCTACTGGGAGTGTGGCGGATGAGCTGCTGAATCTGAGACTGCTGATTATCTCTCCAGTGCAGGTGAGATCAGAAAGGTGCCAAGGGGTGCCGAGGGGTGCAGAGCGGTCGGAGGCGGGTAAGTAGAGAGATGTATCTCATTGGCTATTGGCAATGTGGCAGATGAGCTGCTGAATCCGAGACTGCTGATCATCTCTCTCCAGTACAGGTGAGCACAGAAAGATGCAGGGAGGGGGGGGGAGGGGGGCGGTGTTGAGGGGAGCCAGGACCCAGGTGAGCACAAAGGAGACAGTTGAATTCTGGGGTCCCTGTGGCAGATGGGCTGGTAAGTAAGACCTGACTATCTCTGGAGAGGCTGCTGATCATCTCTCCAGTACAGGTGACCGCAATGACAAGCACTCTCATCTCCCCCTTAACCCCACTCCCCCCCCCCACTCCCACTCAATGCAGGTCACAGCATCCGCACTCTCCAAGCAGTTGATAGCCTGGCACATACCTGTTGTCTCACTCACTGCTCCTCCCCCCCGGGGCTCCGACACCGCCACCCCCCTCCCATTCCTCCCTCCCCTCGTTCCATTCCTCCATTTCACAGCCTCTGCTATATCCAAGCAGCTGACAGCCTGGCACGTGCCGCACCCCCTGCTCCTTGTCACTGCACTCTCCCCACTCTCCCCACTCTCCCCACTCTCCCCACTCTCCCCACTCTCCCCACTCTCGACACTCCCTTTCCCCCCCCGCATCACCCCATGCAGGTCACAGCCTCGGCCATTTCAAAGCTGCTGACAGCCTGGCACGTGCCGCACTCCCTGCTCCTCCTCTCCGCTGCTTTGTCAAACACCCTCACTCGCCCCCTTGTTCTCCCACTTTCCCCAACCACCCCCCACCCCCACCCCATGCAGGTCACAGCATCAGCCATATCCAAGCAGCTGACAGCCTGGCACGTGCCGCACTCCCTGCTCCTTGCCACACCGGAAGAAGCCATTCTCCAGCGCCTGCCAGCTGGCACTCTGCCACCTGCTCCCGCCGCCCGGCTGGCACCGCCTGTGCGGTGGAGGGATGGGAGCGAGAGGGAGGGCGTGGCTGAGGACTATGATGCTGTTATGGTTGACCTGAGTCAACGCCCAACCTTGGCTGACGCCAATGTCATTGTGAGTTATAGTGGTGGTGTTGGTGGTGGTATCGTACTGGCTTGCTGGAGAGATGGGAGGGAGTGAGAGGGAGGGCGTGGCTGATGACTACGACGCTGTTATGGTTGACCTGAGTCAACGACCCACTCTGGCTGATGCTAATGTCATTGTGAGTGCCACTGGTGGTGCCAATGTTGCTCCTGGTACAGTCTGTTGTGGGAGTTAGCAAAGGTGAACGCTCTAGGACAAGGGGAGTGCTGTGCATCAGGGCTGAGCGTACCTTATCCGTTTCCATTCCCACGATTTTTTAGGCGCCTCAAAAATCCCATTCCCACAGGAGGTGCTGCAGCGACTGATGCGCCCCCCATTTCCATTCCCCTCTCCCGTCCCCAGCCCCATCACTCATCACCACAGAAGGTGCTGGAGCGTCTGAGCCGTCCGTAACGGAGTCGGTGTGGTGCTGGTGAATGGCACACAGGACACGCGGAAGACTGAGGTGGTGATACGCCTCTCCCTTTCCCATTTTTGAGGCGCCTGAAAAATCGTCAGAGGACACGGGGAAGACTGAGGTTGTGATACGCCTCGCCCTTTCCCCCTTCCACCCCTCCCAACCCCCCCGCCTTCCTTCTCCGTTTCCTCATCACTCATCACCACAGGAGGTGCTGGAGTGTCTGGGTCGTGACAGGGTGGGGGTGGTGCTGCTGCTGAATAGCACGCAAGTGACAGAGAAGACAGAGGCGGAGCTTAGGCCCGTGTCCCTCCATCCCCACGCTTCCGTTTCCCGCTTTGCCCCCATCAATTCACCACCACAGGAGGTGCTGGAGTGTCTGGGTAGGGACCGCGTGGGAGTTGTGCTGCTGCTGAATCGCACTCAAGTGACAGAGAAGACAGAGGCGGAGCTGAGGGCGGTGAAGCACTGGCAGGATCGTGCCCCGCCCGTGCTGCTGAACAAGCCCATGGTGGGTTGATGTTGAGTGGTTGGTTACATGGTATGCCCATGGTGGGTTGGTTGGCGTGGAGAGAATGCATGGCACGTTGGGTGTGAAGGAACACGTGGCGTTCTGATGTGAGACGAATGCATGGCTGGTACGCTGCATTGATTTTTGAGGCGCCTCAAAAAGCTGGTACGCTGCATTGTTCTGGCGGTGAAGCACTGGCTGGCTGGCAGGACCGCTCCCCGCCCGCCCGTGCTGCTGAACAAGCGCGTGGTGGGTTGGCGTGGAGGGACGCATGGCACGTTGGGGGTTGCAAGGCAATGCAATGTGATTGCGCTGCACGGTATGGTTTTGAGGCGCCTCAAAACTTGCGTTGCACGGTATGATGGATGGTTGGCAGTTCAGCACTGTCAGGACTGCTTCCCTCCATTGCTGCACCACAACCCCATGGTGTTGTGGTATGGAAATGCGTGGTTGGTGCGGTGGTTCGCGTAGTGCATGGTTGGAGCAATCCAGTTAATTCGCTCATACTTTTTGCTCATAGTTTTGTGCTTTTCTGTCCCATCTCTCGTGCATCAGGCTCGCTTTAAGGCTCTGATGGGGGCACTAGAGGCGGCTCTAAGGGCAACGCCATGGGGGATAGAAATAGGAGGAGTTCCATATGGTCATATCTTCACCACCTCAAACTGCTCTCCCCCATTCCCTCCTGTCTCAGGTTCGCCCCAAGGCGCTGATGGAGGCATTGGAAGCGGCCTTAAGGGCAACAGCAGGAGGGGAGAGCGTGCTGCAGTCATGGGCGGGAGGAGGGGTGACGTATTCTCAAGTACTGTCTACTTCTTGTATATCCCGGCTCCCTCTCTCTGAGCCAGGTTCGCCCCAAGGCTCTGATGGAGGCGCTAGAGGCGGCCCTAAGGGCAACGCCAGGAGGGGAGAGCCTGCTGCAGTCAGGGGCGGGGGGAGGGGCAGCAAGGGGAGGGCGGGCAAGTGCGGCTAGTGTGAGGGCAGCTGGGGGCAAGCCCAGTGGGCCAAAGCTGAGTGGACGGATCCTCTTGGCAGAAGACAATGCAGTGAGTGCCATGTGCCTCGGTCCACAAATGGGGGAAGCAGGGGGGTGTGGGGGGGGAAGGGGAAGAGGTAGTGCCTGCCACTGTGAGGGCTGCTGGTGGGAAGCCCAGCGGGCCGAAGCTGAGTGGAAGGATTCTTTTGGCAGAAGACAATGCGGTGAGAAATTGGTTGGTTTGACCGCACGCGGGGTCGACATGGGAAACAGGGAGGAGGGGTGGCGAGGAGAAGGCGGACCAGTGCAGAGTTCGGCCTGGAGAAAGGCAAGACAAACGACTTGCGTGTGGAGTGTGTGGGGAGTGTGTGGGGAGTGTTTCCCTGTGTTTTCCTCGCCATCATCTCCCCCAGATCAACAAAAGGGTGGCCGAGTCAATGCTAGCCATGCTGGGCGTGAGTGTGGATCTGTCACGGCTGCTGACTTGGATCTTTGCTCTCCAATGCGTGCGTGCATGCTCGGTCCGTGTGATGCCCTTATAATCTCTGCAGATCAACCAGAAGGTGGCCAAGTCGATGCTAGCCATGCTGGGCGTGAGTGTGGATCTGGCCAACAACGGCTTGGAGGCTGTCAACCTGTTTGAGAGAAACCAGTACAACCTTATCCTCATGGACTGCCAGGTCAGCAACCTAATGGTCATAGGCTGCCAGGTCAGCAACCTCACCCGTGTAGACTTTTCTTGTTACCACCAGTTTTCTGTTACTTGCTCGGGCATTATACCTTGGGGATAGCGAACTGCCACATCTTGGCTGCATCCCACTCCTTTCCCCACGTCGTTTCAAAATCAGGACCTCGCGCCTCACATGCTGTCTCTATCACTCATGTTAGTGGGGCACATCCTTTTGTCACCCCTGTCCTCAGCAACCTACTCTCAGTCTCAGCAAACCTTCTCGGCAACCCTTCACTCCCTCAGCAACCTACCCGTTGCATATTCCTGAGACGAATTGGTGAACTGCAAGCATGAACCTGCTATTTGATTCTTTTGTGCTTGTTCTATCGCCCACCTTGCCTCACTCACGTGCCGTGTCTTCGCTCACCTGTCGCCCCCTAGATGCCTGAGATGGACGGATGGACGGCCAGCAGCAAGATTCGAGAGTTGGAGGCGTCTCGAGGGCAACCGCCAGTCACCATCGTCGCACTGGTGAGCTCTTCTTTACACACAAATTTCTTCGTTGATTGTTTTCTTCGTAAAACACCTCTCGACGCGGTTTGATTAAGAGGCGCACTTCCCACAACAAGCTTCTTGTGGGCATCCTTCGCGAATTTACGCTTTGGCTGCCTTGGCTGTCTTACTTAAGCCTCGTCGCTTTCCTTTCTACAGACCTCGTTTGCGTCGTCTTAATCCTTCCCTTGTGTTTGCAGACGGCCAATGCTCTTAAGGGCGATCGGGAGCAATGTCTTGCTGCTGGCATGACAGGTGAGTGGAGCACGACAGGTGAGAGAAGCATGACAGGTGAGAGAAGCATATTTCGAGTAGCCATGCAATGAAGCAGCTCAGTAGGTAGACAGCACTTAGTTTGGAGAGTGAAGGCACTCTTTTGTGGAGGATATTAAGGGATGGAGGGGGAAGGTGGTTGTATGTTGAAGCACCCGATGTATTGAAGTCATCCCATCCCTGCCTCCTCCCTGCCTCCCTACCTCCCATCTTCCTTGCTCAAGTTCCTCCCATCATGTTTCTGCTGCCATAAGGTCATGTGCCACCACACGGCATCCATTGCCCTCACTCTCGCGTCCCGATTGCCTATACGATTGCGTCTACCTTATTTCCAACCCGTCTCTCATCTTCCTATCGATCTCCCCCTACCACTGCAATTTTGTCCCCCCATGTTCCCCTGGTCCCTCGCCTATCAGACTACATGTCCAAGCCTGTGAGCAAAGCAGCGCTGGAGAAGGTGCTTCGGCACTACCTTGTACCCGCTTGATCCATCAAGTTCTACCCTGTGCGGGCGTAATTAACTGCAGCTCAACACCGTTTTACTGTACACTGCCAAAAGAAGCTTTGTTGTCTATGTATACGAGTTCAGTGGAAGGTCTCTCCCCTGCGGGAATTGTCTAGCTAGTGGTCAAACGGTGTATGCAACGCCTAATAGCATCCTTCATGTCAAGTTTAGCCTGGCAGCTAGCAAGGCGCCATGACCTGGTGCCACCTGTGCTCTGACTCCACATCAGGTGTACCAATATGTCGAGAGATCTCCATGCTCGTCATCACTTCGTTGGTGTCACTAATTATGAAGATCCGGTTTTTTGTAAAGCACATGTATTCATCGTGGTGCTCAACAGTGAGTCACCTCGTGGGAGATTATGTCGCACTTGGTTATCATGCAACATTGTAAGTTATGTTTGCCTTTTAGGGAAATTGTATAATTTCCCGAAATGTCTTGACTACGCTGATCACGATTTTCTTTATGAAACGTCTGTATCGGGGAGGCCCAGACAGCTTTTGCGCGCGAAATTTGAACCTGACGCATCGAGTTTGTCAGCGCTTTGGCTGTAATTTTCTTGAAGCATTACCCGGAAATCTGGGCCGTTCTAGGTATTGTGTATCATCAAATTGAACAATGTCAGGAGTAGACCCTTGGCGTGAGTCGCCGGACCCCTTCTCGTTGTTGCTCAAATAGAAGATGGAGATTCGTAGTCCCGTTCCGGAGAGTACTGCGGTTCGCTTAAACAATTTATTTCCGGCGGCAGCTCGCTTTTACATTCTTCTTCCTGCGGCACGAAATGCCACGATAAGCGAGTTTTGCCAATGCCAAGCTGAATCCAGAGGGGAGGCGTAATTCGATGAGAGGTACCGTAGAAATTACAAATACGCCTTTTATTGTGGAAACATATGCGATATCCACTATAAAATGTTTGACGACTTAGGTAATTTTGATAGAAAACAAACTCCCTTCCAGTTCCAAGCATGGCTGCACCGAAATCCCCAGGTTTGACAGCCTGACTGATCGTCCTCCCTTTCTGGTTGATTCCACTACTAAGCATCCCGATTCCTGATGCTAAGAGTCTCGGAGCCTGCACGGAATTCCCCAGGCTTCAGGCTTCCTGATTCCAGAAGTCAGGTACAGGACTGTCTCAAAGTTATCTGATAGTCAGGCTGATTAAGGATTTCACATAAATTTTAGGGTAGAGGCATGATGCCGTTCAGTGGTTCCGCTTCAACTGACTGAATGTAGTACTCGCCAGGCCTCCAGTCCAGAAGTATTTTCGGTTCTCAGCTTCGCGGGTTGGCTATCTATGGTTCCCAACATCGCGCTGGAGTCTGATTGAATGTTGAGCTGCGTCGGTATGATCGTTAGTTAAACGTTAAACACGCCGATCGTCATCCAGTAAAGGTGAGGAATGGTAGTTGGTCTTACACGGTAGAGGATTCTTCAGTGATAGAAACTAGGAGGATAGCAGCTTCTCGACTGCTGCGTGTTTACGTAACGAAATATGACGTGGAATGTAAAGCCTGGTCGCCGAACCTGGTGGCTCCTTTTTAAAACGAAACTTCCATAAGATTGCGACGACATGATCAGTTCATCTTCTGTTGGAAGCGAGGCATAGCTGATTACCAAACAGTACTACTGTCAGTGTCAAAACATAAGGGAATCTAGGAAAGTCCGACGTGGGAAGCTGTCGTGTCCGCCGTTATTGATGAAGAAAAATCATTCCGGTGTCGGGTGGCGACGGACGTATCGTAAATACTACGGAGAATCAGACGCGCTGAGCAAAGAATACCCGTTTATGAAAGCCGTAGCTGACGTAGGGTGAGCAATAGATTCAGAGAGAGGCATAGTACACGGTTTGGTCTCCGGTGCCAGTCGTCGCGTGGAATACCAACGTCCAATAACGGAAAATAAAGCGAGTTTTTCTAGCTGTATTTTACCAGCAAAAAGCATATTGCATGTTTCGCTTTCTCACTTACCGTCTTGTTTCCTCTTTTTTACCTCCGTCGCTTGCTTGCTTCCAGTTCCAGGATGGAGAACGTGGCTCCGCTGCCCAGTTTACTGGTCCGTTACAGACCAGCACTGCAAGGCGGACCCAGCAAACCAGATCCTGTCAAATCCATGCCGCTGCAAGCCGGATCGTCACAGCATGCCGGGTCGTCGCAGCAAGGAGGGCCGTCGGCGCAACGAGGCACGCCTTCTAGACCAGGACTTGCGACGCTGACCGGCAACGTGCTCACGCCGCAGTCGTCGTGTGAGTGACGGGTCTCACGGCCTCTGCGACACCTATGGACGATGCTCCCAGCACCATGCGTTCCGCTAACTATTTCGCTCTCGATCCGATTTTTCTCTCGCTCTGTCCCCTGTCGAGCTGTCTAAATCGTGCTGTCCGTGCCACAACGTACGCATACGCTGAATCCTTCTTTTTAATCGTACGCTATTCTTACTTTACCGTTCGCTCTTAACGAATTTATTTGTTCGATGCGATTCTCTCCAGGGCCTCCCGTTAACCCTGATTCGTTATCGCCTGTGTATTTCTTCACCCACAGATCGAACGAGCGCCGCCAAGACTCCCAACACCGCCACCAGGACACGTACAGCCCCGACGCGACTACCAGCCGCAATCTCGGACGATTCTAACATCCAGGTATAGAACCCCAACGAGATTGCACATTCTACACATCAAGGCGGTAACTCAAATCAAGTAGCCTCTAAATGAGTTCCCATTCGATTGCACGTTCCAAACGTCTTGATGCGTTTGCCTGCTGCCACCGGTGGTTAGAAGTACGAATCGCAGGGCAGGAAAGGATGTGCCGCCCTTCTTGTTCCAATTTGCCCGTTCATTACTTCTCTCTCCACCCAATCGCTCATGCAGGTGATTGTGAGGGTTCGTCCTAGGCTGGTTTTCTGCCCATTTCATCCCCCCCAACCCCCAACCTCCCCCAGGTGATCGTGAGGGTGCGTCCGCCAGCGGGCCCCGAGCTGACAGGATATCCTGGAGCACGATGCGTGGCGCAGGATGGGCCGAAATCGCTCTTCCTCATGAACCCGGACAAGGGAGGCGCGGCCGAGCAGTTCACCTTCGACCACGTGGCGGGGGAGAGGGCGCAGCAGGTACTCTTATGCTTGTGCTCAGTTGCATGGCAGGATGGGGAGAGGGCGTCACAGGCATGTGCGAACCCGTAATGTTCACTCACCTCCTTGCCGACGACCATTACTAGCTCCACGTTGCTCGGCTACTTAGCTTCGTCTCTCGCGCCACCCCTTCTTCCCTCCCGTCTAGCCCAGCCTTATCTCGCCCTCGCACTCTCTCCTTTGCTTATTCCTCCCCCCCGTCCGCTTTCCCTTCCCTCCCTCCCTTCCTCCCTCCCTCCCTCCCTCCAGGAGGACCTGTTCGAGCTGGCGGGGAGGCCCATAGTGGAGAACTGCCTGGCTGGTTACAACAGCACCATGTTCGCCTACGGCCAGGTTCGTTCCATGAAATATAGCACCAGCTGCCGCCACGCTTGGTTGTCACTACGTTCGTAATGTCATCCATCTTCCCTCTTCCCTCTTAGCTCATCCCTACCGGACCACCAACAACAGCCACTTCGTTAAAACACTCTCCTTCTTTCGTTTGCACCCTCCCTCTGCCTTGTGATGCCTGTCAGACCGGCAGCGGGAAGACCTATACGATGTTCGGAGCTGACATGGACAAGGTCGACCTGGACAGGTTCCGACTGGATAAGGCTGACGTGGAGGCCAGCTCGTTATGGGGGATGATCCCGCGTGTCTTCCAGCTGGTCTTCGCCCTGATGAAGCAAGTATGTGTGCCTCTCCCTCCATGCATGACTGGGAGCTGTAACTTCCAAGAGGAGTTGCGTTCTCTGTTGGAATCTAAGCGAGAACCATGATTCTTGTCCGCTGGCTGTTCATCTGATGTCCCGCTGTTGCCCTGCCCTGTGTCAGTACTTCCATCCCCCCTCTCTTTCCAACTTCCCCCTGCCCCTCTCCCTCCCTCCCTCTCTTCTTCCCTCCCTGCCTGTCGCCATGGCAGGAGAGGCAGCAGAGGGCGAGTGAGCGTCTGGCGTTCATCTGCACGTGCTCGTTCCTCGAGATCTACAACGAGCACTTCTACGACCTGCTCGACCCCAAGCGCACCAACCTGCATGTGAGTGGATGGGCTGCGCTTGTGCTTGCTGTAGGCCCCCAAAAACACCTCGTTGTCCACGCACCTTAACCGCTGTAGCTATCCTGATCCATATAAGCTTCTCGTGTTCCTCTCGTGTGTGCTCCTGCACCTGCTCAGATCCGAGAGGGCCCCAACGGTGTGTTCGTGGAGAACCTCACCAAGCAGTCCGTCTCCTGCTTTGCTGAAGTGATGGAGCTCATCCAGCGGGTGAGCTGGCAGATAGCTCGTTTGAGGACAGATGCCTCATGGAGTGGGTTAAAGATAGTTTTTTCTCAAACGGTCTATGACTTGTTTATGAACGATTCAAAAGCACGGCACTCATTTTCCACCTTTCTGGTAAGTCAGGATTGTAACCATGTACATATCAATCCGTGAGTGTGCAGGGCGCCAAGAACCGGCGGGTGGCAGGGACGAACATGAAGACAGCCCTTCCTCTGACCTTTTTGCTCGTTTGTACCATCCGTGCTGTGAGCAGGGCGCCAAGAACCGGCGGGTGGCAGGGACGAACATGAACAGGGAGAGCAGCCGGTCGCACAGCGTCTTCACATGCAACATCGAGAGCACCGTGAGTAGTGCTGCAATGCTTGAGGGTGCCAACTTTGAGCTAGTTTTAGCTTCATCCGTGTGACCCCACTTTGTTGCTTACAGTTGTGTTCTTGCTTGTACTTAATTGAATGCCTCCGTGTGTATGTGTGTATTTACCCCTATCATGCAGTGGACGGCAGACGGCATCTGCAACCGCCGCTTCGGTCAACTCAACCTCGTTGACCTCGCAGGCTCTGAGAGGTACCAGACGCACCCCCCATGCCTTGACGCTCCTTAGGCTCAGTAACCTATGTCTCGTCCCATGCCTTTGGCATGGCTCCATTATCTCTGTATGCACGGCCTTACCACCATCCCTTCAGTAAGCCTGACGTCGATCATGTCCCATACATGTTTCATGGTTCATCACCTCCCACCAGCCGCCCTCTTGTGCTCGCAGGCAGAAGTCGCGGGGGGCGACCGGGAATAGGCTCAAGGAAGCGACCTCCATCGACACATCTCGCTCTAAACGCAATTTTTATCTGTTGCCTACTACTCCCTTCTCGTGCACTCTACCCCTCTCTACCCCTCTCGTGCACTCTACCCCTCTACCCCTCTCGTGCACTCTACCCCTCTCGCGCACTCTACCCCTCTCTACCCCTCTCGTGCACTCCACCCCTCTCTACCCCTCTCGTGCACTTCACTCCTCGCAGGCAGAAGTCATCAGGGGCGACCGGAGAGAGGCTCAAGGAAGCGAGCTCCATCAACACGTCGCTCTCCCAACTCGGGTATGACGCTTGCCCCCCCTTGGCTGTCCCCCTTGGCTGTACCCCGTGGCTGTACCCCCTGGCTGTACCCCGTGGCTGTCCCCCTTGGCTGTACCCCTTGGCTGTCCCCCTTGGCTGACCCCCTTGGCTGACCCCCTAGGCTGTCCACGCTGCTGTGCATGCTTAGGTGAGGCGCCTCAGAACAAGAGAGCATTCATGCCTTGCTGGTGTGCTCTAACTATGCTTGGTTTGAACACTCGTGTGATACATGTGGCTGTTGTTGTGCAGCCTAGCGTCTTCATTCCTGTGCACCATACGGTCATCTGTCAACTGTTCTAATATATGCCTGTACACCGATTTCCATATGCGCGCCGCGTCACAGGAATGTGATCATGGTGCTGGTGGAGTCGCTCAGGGAGAGAACAGGTGTATTGTGCCTGTTCTTATATCGAACACACATGTGAACCTTCTCTTATATGCATGGAATGTTACCAGGAACGTGATCATGGTGCTGGTGGAGTCGCTCAGGGAGAACAGGCCTCGCCACGTGCCATACCGGGACTCCTACCTCACCTTCCTCCTCCAGGTTAGCATTCTCTAGTGCCAAGTGAGCGCCCTTGCTCCAGCCTTGAGCGTCTTTTTGAGGCGCCTCAAAAATCCTCCTACCTCACCTTCCTCCTCCAGGTTAGCATTCTCTAGTGCCAAGTGAGCGCCCTTGCTCCAGCCTTGAGCGTCTTTTCATTGAAGACTTAGTGATTAGACCCCCGCACCACACTGCCTTCCTGACACCTCTTTTCCTCTTACCGCATCCTGTGCAGGACTCCCTCGGTGGCAACTCCAAGACCACCATGATCGCGTGCATCAGCCCCTTCGCAGGGTAAGCAGCAGGTTGTGAGGCCAGAGTCGTGTGTCTGTGCTAGTGTAACCGCCAACGCCCCTCATGTAGCATGCCCCGTGCTGCCTTGACCTTGAACTCCAGTGCTGCCTTTAGCTTGAATTAGCCATGCCATGCCATCTATCCTCCGTGCCTCTTCCCTCTATGCATCCCATCCCCCATGCCGCAGGTCGTACCGCGAGTCCCTGGGCACGCTCAAGTTCGCCCAGCGCGCCAAGCTGGTGCACAACAAGGCGGTGGTGAACGAGGCCACGGAGGGCGAGAAGGACGCGCTCAAGAAGGAGATCGCCCGCCTCAAGGTATGCTGCTGGATTCGCCCGCTCTAATGCACCAATTCCCCTCTGCTTGGAGGGCGAGAATGGACGAGCTCAAGAAGGAGATCTCCTTCTGTTCACCTTATGAGGTACGCTGCCGCTCCCTTGCCTCCTTGTCTTGTGATTACCCGCTGTTCTTTCCAGTTCATCCCACCGTTTCAACCATACTACGTGCACGGCTGCCAGGCAAGCATTCAATGCCTCTCTGTTTATGGGACAGAGTGCAGCACCACATGCCTGGCAGTGGAATTCTAGAATCTGGGCTTGCTCGTGTTTCAGTGCGATTCCTGGTGGTGTCTGGTGTTTTTGGAACCAGATTCATTCCTGCGCGAGCTCTGCACCTGGCCTTCCCTCTTCTCACAGACCCTCCGCTGTCTTCCCTCCCTCCCTACCTCCCTCCCTCTCTCCCTCCCTCCCTCTCTCCCTCCCTCCCTCCCTCCCTCCCTCCCTCCCTCCCTCCCTCCCTCCCTCCCTCCCTCCCTCCCTCCCTCCCTCCCTCGCTCCCTCCCTCCCTCCCTCCCTCCCTCCCTCCCTCCCTCCCTCCCTCCCTCCCTCCCTCCCTCCCTCTCTCCCTCCCTCCCTTCCTCCCTCCCTCCCTCCCTCCCTCCCTTTCTCCCTTCCTTTAACCATGCAGGACGAGCTTCAACGGCTGCGCAAGCTCTGCACGTGCGAAGCCCAACTGCTCCTCCCCTCCTCCTCCTCCTCCTCCTCCTCCCCTCCCTTCTCCCTCTGCCGCTCACTCGCCACCACACCCGCAACACCCCGCAACCCTGCCACCACCGGAGCCGCTGCTGCTCCTGGGGATGCTGCCTGCACCCCACTGGCCTTGGCCCTGCAGGAGAGGGCGAACTCGCCCCGGCATGTGCAGCTGGTGGCTGACATCCGCCGGCTGGAGGTGACATTGGCTGGGGCTTTAAGGCGGGAGAGGGAGCTGGACCGACAGGTGGAGGCTCTCAAGGCCGAGAATGAGACGTTGAGGAAGCAGGTGGCTGCATGGGGTGCTTCTGAGATGGGTGGTGCTGGTGGTTTGGGTGGTGGTGCTGCTGCGGGGAAGGAGGAGGTGTCAGGGGATGAAAGGGAAGGGGTGGTGGGGAGGCTGGCGACAGTGGAGGAGGGAGAGGAGGAGGTGGAGGAGGGGAGTGGCTCGGAGGCGAGAGAGAGTGAGGAGGCGGCGGATTTGAGGGATCAGGTGAGCGTATAGCAGCATGCAGAGGCATCAGTGTGAGTCTGCACGGTGCAGCATGACACAGCCTCGCTCGGCGTGACAGGGCATAGCATGCTATTGCCATGCAATTCAGCTTTTTCATACAATAATGGGCTGTTAAAATGAGCTCGTACCACCCTCTCCGCAACCTTCCGCCCCATGCAACGAACAGGTGGTGGGTCTGTTGGCGCAGAAGGCAGCAGCAAGGAGCGGGAAGGATTCAATGAATTCTTGCGACCTTTCCTCCCCCTCCATGCCCTCGCCTCGCCCTTCCGCCCATGCATCACCAGGTGGTGGGTCTGTTGGCGCAGAAGGCAGCAGCAGGGGGCGAGGATGCCCAGGAGCGCATGGAGAGTATCTCTCTGGAGCTGGCGGGCGTGAGGGAGGAGCTGGCTCGGTGCAGGGAGCATTTGAAGCTGTCTGACGACGCAAACGACAGGCTGGCGAGGTGAGAGACGGGCGAGAAGCAGAGGGAAGGGGCAAGGCAGGATAGTGGTGGTGAGATGAGGGGTGAGAAAGGAGCAACAGGCTGGCAAGGTGAGAGAGGGGCGGTGGCAGGAATGGCGAAAGGTGCAGAGTGGTGGTGAGGGATGAAGGAGGGGCTGGCACAGTGCAAGGCGCACCTGATGTTGTTTAGGATGCCACTCTCTCCACCTTCACGAAACCTTCGCCGCTCAAACCCGCTTACTGGCAGTCGAACACAGGAGGTCGAGGCAGAGTGGAGCTCAGGGCTGCTCAGACTCTCCCCCCATTTGACAGACAATTGCGGGAGATGGAGGCACAGATGCAGCCCCCGCCTGGTCAGAGGCTCTCCTTATGCCCCATCCCCGTTATTCCTTAGAGGCTCACCTCTCCCAACCCCCAACCATTCCCCCGTTTGGCAGGCAAACGCGGGAGATGGAGGCAGAGATGCGGCTGCTGGCTGCTGAGAGACTCTCCCTTGAAGAGCAGGTCAACACTCTCAAGGCTCTTAAGGGCGACCTTTCCTCTTTCAAAGGAGATCGTTCAGCGCTGAAGGGGAATCTCGCCTTGGCACCCACACCCATCCCATCCGCCGCACGTGCTGCCGCCCCCGGCAGCCTTATCCCCACGCCTCTCGTCACCACCACCAGGGGCGGTCGTGCGGCCACTCCCACTAACGTCTACGGAATCAGCCACGGGTCAGGCATTAGCAGGAAGCTTGAGGAGGAGTTTTCCTGCGCCAAGGGCTTTGAGACCCCCCTTTCAACAAGGGGCAAGACTGCTGCAGCAGCAGGAGGAGTGGGAGCAGGCGAAGGAGGAGGATTAGGAGGTACGGAGTATTTCGTTGACTGTAGGTCGTCTCTGCGGCATGTGGGCAAGGATCAGGACCGATTCAGGCAGCACAAGTCAGATCTTGACTCTGCTATCAAGGGGAAGCTGGAGGCGGAGTGGGCCAACAGCGCTCTCAAGGCGAATCTGAAGCTCCAGGAGCAGGAAGCGAGGGAGCTTATAGAGAGGATGCAGACAGAGGAGGGGAGGAGGCGTGAGGCAGAGCGAGCAGCGGAAGAGGCAGAGAGGGGGGTTCGGGAAGCTGCTGCCGCAGCTGCGGCTTTGGCTCAGGAGAAGGCTGCAGTGGAGGAGCAGCTTTGGGCAATCCAGGAGAAGGTTCGGGAGCTGCAGGATCGGGAGGAGAGGAGCGAGGACGAGAGGAAAGACCTGGAGGACGCTTTGAGAAGGGAGAGGGATTTGGGGGAGGCGGCAGCTCAGTTAGCAGAGGCTGAGTGGAACAAAACGCAGGAGGCGACGGCTAGGAGGAATGAAGCGGAGAGGAGCCTGCAGAGGACTAAGGACGAGGCGAAAAGTCTAAGGGACCTACTGGAGGATACAGAGCAGACGAGGGCGAAGTATGTGAGGCTGAAGCATGAGTTGAGGGGGGCGATGCAGCGGCTGGTGCAGGCGGGAGAGCAGAAGGTGGAGGATGAGAAGAGCATGGAGGCGATGAGGGAGGAATTGGCTGGAGTGAGGGCGCAGATGTTAAGTGCGGTGGAGAGGGCGGAATTTGCGGAGAGGAGGGTGAGGGAGGCTGAGGTGGCAGGTGCAAGAGCGGAGAGGGGAGTTGAGGCCGCAGTTGAGGAGGCTGAGGTGGCAGAAGAGGGTGTGAGGGAGGAAGAGGAGGTAAGGAGAGTGATGGAAGAGAGGGATGCGGCACAGAGGCTGGTGGATGAGCTTGTAATGAAGGTAGTGGAGTTGGAGGAGAAGGGAAGAGAGGCGGAGAAGAGGGCGGAAGAGGATGCTCTGTCACTGGAGGAAGCAGCGAGGAAGGTGCAGGAGGCGCAGGAAGAGGTGGCAGTGGCAGGGGAGAGGGTGATGGAGAGCCTGGCTAGGCTGCAGGAGGTGGAGGAGAGAGCAGTAACAGCTGAGGGCAGAGCAGAGGCAGAAGAAGGGAAGGCAGAGGCGATGGAACAGAAGGTACAGGCAATGGCGGGTTGGTTGGAGAGTAGGGAGGCTGAGACTATCCGGGTGTATGCTGAGTTGATGATATTGCAGGCTGTAGTGGAGGGGATGGACGAAATTGTTGAGTCTGGGAGGGTGGTGGCAGAGCAGGGAGCTATGGCAGCCGAAGCAAGGGCTGCAGCAGCAGAGGTGAGGGCAGCGGCAGCAGAGAAGAAGGTATCGGCAGCAGAGGGGATGGTAGGGGCAGCAGAGGGGAGGGCAGAAGAAGCTGAGGCTAGGGTGGTGGCTGCTGAGGTGGAAGCAAAGGAGGCAACGGAGAGGGCAGAAGCACTGGCGGCTTTGATGGAAAGTGAGGAGGCTGAAGTTGTTCGAGCGAATGCTGAGGTGATGCTGCTGCAGACGATTATGGAGGATATGGACGCAGCTGTGTCTTCTGGGAGGACGGTGGCAGGTTTGGGTGGAACGGGCAGGGAGGAAGCAGGCGAGCTTGAGGTTGAGCTGATGCGGGTTCGAGAGGAGCTTGAAGGAAAAGTGGCGGAGATTCGGAGGAAGGAGGAGGAGTTGGAGAGGAGTGAAAGGGAGTTGGAGGAGCAGCGGGTGAAGCTGGGAGTGTGGGAGGACACGTGGGTGGCCTGGGAGCATCACCGCCACAATATGCAGTTCCCAGGGGGGTGCGGGTATGACATGGGCGTGAGGTACAACTGGGGGAGGGTAGTCCTGGAGCTGGTGCAGCGGGAGCTGAGGAGAGTGAGGGAGGAGAAGGAGACAGCGGAGGGGGAGAGAAGAGAGGCGGATGCTGCAGTGCAGAGAACGAGGGGGGAGATTAGGGTTTTGGTGGACGAGAATGGGTTGCTGAGGCGGTTGTTGAAGATAGAGGAAGGGGATGTGGTGCCCGTGCCTGGGAAGAGCAGGAGGGCGAGCTTTGACCTGGCGATTGGGGCGATCGGAGCAAGGATTTGGGCCGGGAGAATGAGGGAGAAGGAGTTGGAGGAGGAAGAAGGGAGGGCGGGGAGGGAGAGGAGGGTACTGGAGGGGATGAGGAAGGGGGTGGAGGAGAGGATGAGGGGGTTAGAGGAGGAAAGGAAGGAGGACGAGAAGCGAGACGAGAGGGAGGCGGGTGAGGGGGTTCTGTTGGAGCAGAGGGATCAGGATGGGATAGACGTGGAGGGGATTGAACAGACCGGAACACAGGCGGCACAGGCAGAGGAGGAGATACGGCAGGCAAAGGAGGGAAGGAGGCAGACGGAGGAAGAGAGGAGGTTGGAGGAGGAGCAGTTGCGGCTCTCATCTGCTGCGCTGGAGTGCCGGGGAGCGCAGATGGATGCTGAAGTGGCGGGGTACAGGGCGGAGAAGGAGAGGTACAGGAGGGAGGTGGAGCAGATGAAAGCAGTGCAGCTGGTGCTGGAGCGAGAGAAAATGCTACAGGCGCAGAGGGGGGCCACTGGGGAGGAGGAAAAAGGGGAGGGAGTGGGTGAGAACGAGGAGAAGGGCAAGGAAGGAAGGGGAGAAGGGGATGGGCAAGAGCGCGAGGAGGATGGGAAGAACGTGCTGGGTACCCCTGTGCGAGATGATGGCCGTGGGGGAGGGGGAGTTGTTGCAGATGCGAGTATCGATTTGGGGTCGGCAATGAGGTCGCCGCGGCCGCAGGGCACTCTGGTACTCTTCTCGGCCTCTCGTGCACTGGGGAGAGGGAGACAGGGTGGGAGGAGGAGCTTGCCTGCACGCTTGGATCAGGGCATGGGGGGCTGCCCAGGCAGAGTGGAGTGTGGGAAAGACGGGGAGGAGGGGATTGGTGATGACTCGTGGAGGGGCGAGATGGAGGCGGAGATCGCGAGGAAGGAGGGGGAGATGCAGCAGCTGCTGAAGCAGATCGAACGGTTGCAGGAAGAGGTGCGTGATTGAAGGCGGTTTAAGGTAGGTGGTTGCATCCATGGGTGGTTGGTTGGGGGGCCTCAGGTGCCTCAATAGGCTAGCCGCCATGAGCATTCCACTAAGCTTGTTTTACCAAACCTTGGCCTGGTCTCTGCCATATCCTCACCCCTCCCATGCTGCCTTCCCTCCTGTGCTGCCTTCCCTCCTCCCGTGCTCCCCTCCCTCCTACACACCCAGAACGGTGACCTTCACTCGAAGCTGTGAGGGTCAGAGCAGTCAGTGTGGCTACTCTAGCAAGGTTATATCCCATGTCCCCTCCCATGCTCCTATCCCTCCCCACCCATAACTCCAGAACGGCGAGCTTCACTCGAAGCTGTGTGCGTCAGAGCAGTCAGTTTGGCGGTCACTAGCCGCCATGAACACTCCAGGGCCCAAACAAGCAAGGAGCACTCTAAGCAGACAAGACGGCGAGGGGGGCGGGAAGGCAGTGGAGGATGGTCAGTGCTCGTCTGAGGTGGACGCGGCGGGCATGAGGATGAACTTGGACCCTATTCTTGAAGCACCAGAGCTGGCGCCAGGATCTGGGCCAGAGGGGGTGGCAGCAGTGGAGCTCCTGAAGGAGAAAGCTTTGAGGAGGCACCAGCAGGTGCTGCAGAAGGTGGGTTGTTGAGGCCTTGAAGGCGGGCTTTGAGGAGGCACCAGCAGGTGCTGCAGAAGGTGGGTTGTTGAGGCCTTGAAGGCGGGCTTTGAGGAGGCACCAGCAGGTGCTGCAGAAGGTGGGTTGTTGAGGCCTTGAAGGCGGGCTTTGAGGAGGCACCAGCAGGTGCTGCAGAAGGTGGGTTGTTGAGGCCTTGAAGGCGGGCTTTGAGGAGGCACCAGCAGGTGCTGCAGAAGGTGGGTTGGTGAGGCCTTGAAGGTGGGCTACCGTAAGTGACGAGGGTGGGCTAGTTAAGCTGTGCAGGGCTGGTGCCAGCAGCAGGGGAGCGGTTGAAGGAGAAAGCTCTGAGGAGGCACCAGCAGGTGCTGCAGAAGGTGGGCAACCCTTGACCCATAACATTCACTATCTTCAAGCAAATTCTCCACAACGCCCTTCCCTTCTTTCCGTGCCATGGGTCACTAAAAGCATCACTGTTTTCTCCTCCGCCTTTCTTTCCCAACCCTTCTACCCTCTCCTCTCCCCTTACTTGTGCCCTGTCCTCTCAGGATCACGAGCTTCGCCAGCTACGCACGCAGCTGGATCTCCTCATTCACGAGAAAGAGAAGTAAGCCCCGCGTCCCCTGCCCCTCCCCGTTCCTCCTCATCCTCCCCTTCCCCCCTCCCCCCTCCTCTCCTACCGTCCCGTTTTCATTCCCCCCGTTACCGTCCCTCCTCTCTCCATCGCTTAAGACTCCACCCATTACATCCCCATCCTCTTTCAAAACAAGAGAGATGCGTGTTCTCACGCCACCTTGCTCCTCCTGCACAACAACTCCAGCAGGTCTCCGATGGAGATGGAGCGGATGCGCTCAGAAGCGATGATGCTATTTATCTTCATGCACCTCATAATCCCCTGATTTTACGTCCTCTCACAATCACCCAGGTCTCTGGTGGAGATGGAGCGAATGCGCTCTGAAGCGGTGATGCAGCGAAGCATGGCAAACAAGTGCCTGCAGAAAGAGCTGGCGCTCACTCAAGAGAACGCACAGCTCAAGGTGAGAATTCGGAGGTGAAGATGAGAGGAATGGCGCATTGTACGAGGTCAAAGGCAGTGCTGCAGAGAAGCATGGCGGTGCTGGCGCTATATCAAGAAAACGCACAGCTGAAGGTGAGAAGTCGGAGGTCAGGATGAGAGGAGGTGGTCAGAGGCGGTGCTGCAGCGTAGCATGGCGGACAAGTGCCTGCAGAAAGACCTGGCGCTCGCTCAGGAGAATGCTCAGCTCAAGGTGAGAAAGTCGGAGGTTAAGATGAGAGGAATGGCGCATTGTATGAGGTTAGAGGCACTGCTGCAACGATGTATGGCAGACAAGTGCATGCAGAAAGAGTTGGCGCATACACAGGAGAATGCTCAGCTCAAGGTGAGAGTGTTTATCCATGCGTCAGAGATGGTATTTGTTGCTCCGTCTACCTGTGCTTACGCCGTTCCCTTCTCCCCATGCTTCCCTCCCTGGCACCAGCAACAACTGGCGGGCGTGCAGCTGCAGCGGTGCAGGCAGGGGGCGAGTTGCCGGCGCTGGTGGTTAGGCTTGGGCTTTCCCATTTTTCCCCTCATCCTTCCCTCCCTTTCCATGTCCCCTCCCCTCCACCCCTCTCCTTCCTCGTCCCCCCTCCAGCAACAACTAGCGGGCGAGCGGCAGCAGCTGGAGCAGGTGGAGGGCGAGCTCTTCCTTTCCCTCATCCTTTCCCTCTTTCTCGTTTCTCCCTCCTTTTCATCCCTGTTCTTCACCAGCAACAACTGGCGACCGTGCAGCAACAACTGGAGAACGCAGAGAGAGAGCTGCAGAAGCTGGTGGTCAGGCTTTAGCCCTACCCTTCATCCCTCTCCCCCTTTCCTTATTCCCTACTCCAATTTTATCCACCTCCCCCACCTCCAGCAACAACTGGCGGGTGTGCAGCAGCAACTGGAGAATGCAGAGAGCGAGCTGCAGAAGCTGGTGGGGCAGCACAACCTGAACCAGCGCATCCAAGTGTTTGCCAAGTTCAAGGTGAGGGGGAGGGAGGGAGGGAGTAGGAAGCAGTAGATCGTTGGGTGACGGCTGGTGGGGCAGGACAACCTGAACCAGCGCATCGAAGGGTTTGCCAAGTTCAAGGTGAGGGGGAGGGGGGGAGGGAGTAGGAAGCAGTAGATCGTTGGGTGACGGCTGGTCGGGCAGCACAACCTGAACCAGCGCATCCAAGTGTTTGCCAAGTTCAAGGTGAGGGGGATGAGTGAGGTCGGGGAGGAGTGAGGTTGGGGAGGAGTGAGGTTTGGGAGGGGTGGGATTGGGGAGGCGTGAGGTTGGGGAGGGGTGAGGTTGGGGAGGAGTGAGGTTGGGGAGGGGTGAGATTGGGGAGGGGTGAGGTTGGGGAGGGGTGAGGTTGGGAGGGGTGAGGTTGGGGAGGAGTGTGCTAGGGAGTGGCAATCTAAGATTGCAGAGCGATATCTAGTCTGGTGGGGCAGCACAACCTGAACCAACAGCTTCGATGGGGGAATAGCAACGGTCTGGGTGCTCTTAACGAGGAGCTGGCGGCAGCAGTGAAGCGCATGTAGGGGCGGGTGAAGAGGCTAAGTCAAACCCCTCCTGCCCCTCTATCACCTCTCTACCTGCCTTGTTTCCAGTCGGAGAACAATGCCCTGCGGTCACAGAATGAGGAGCTTGCAGCAGCAGTGAAGCGCATGTAGGGGCGGGTGAAGGGGCTAACTCAAACTCGGAGAACAATGCCCTGTGGTCACAGAATGAGGAGCTGGCGGCAGCAGTGAAACGCCTGGAGGGGCGAGGTGCGGGTGAAGCGACTGACTCGCCTCCTTGCTCGCCCTTCCCCTTTCATCCCCCTTCTGCAGTCGGAGAACAATGCCCTGCGGTCACAGAATGAGGAGCTGGCGGCAGCAGTGAAACGCCTGGAAGGGCGGGTGAAGCGATTAGAGGCGGAGGTGGGGAAGTACAGGAAGAAGGCAGGGCAGGCGGAGCAGATCAACTATGACGAGGAGGCGAGGCTCCAGCAGCGACTGGAGGTGAGAAATGGCTGTGGTGGACTGCGCTGAGGTGTGCTTGAGCCATGCTATGGTCAGTACATCTTGCACCATCTTCCTCTGCAACTGAACAGTCGAGCACTGCATCCTTTGTCACCAACCCCTCCCCTCTCATCCCCTCCTCTCCCCTCCACTTCCCTCCTCTCCCCCTCCACTCCCCCTCCACTCCCCTGCAACGCATTTCATCTGTTGAGAGCAGGAGGTGGAAAGGAGCAGCACTGACATGGCCCAGAAGCTGCTCACTGTCTGCCAGGCTGTCCTCCAGGTCAGTGCCACGTCATCAGGGCCCAGGTCTGTGCCGGATAAGCAGTGGTTACATACCTGTGCCACGTGGACCATGCTCCTCTTTCTGCACAGATTTAAGTAGTTACATTCTTTTTCAACCAGTCGTATTCCTTCCTTCTCTGCCCCTGCCCGATGCAGGTAACAAAGGGCCCACATGCCCACTCAGTTGCTGCAGAAGGGCTGGATGCAGAGCATGGTGGCGACATCAGCAGCAGCAGTGATAAGATGCAGGAGTCTCTAGGTGCCGACCCGTCTGGTGCTGCCCTTGCTGCTCTGAACTCACTCAAGTTCCGGATCAAGGCAGCAGAGGATGAGATCAGCGACCTCAAGTTCCAGGTGAGCTGCATGTAGCCAGTTTTGAAAGGTGGGTGGGGATGTTGGGGTAGCATGGAATAGCAGGGTAACTTCAGATCGGGTTCAGGAAGAAGGCAGCAGAGGATGAGATCCGCGACCTCAAGTTCCACGTTAGCTGGAGAGCCCCTGGTAGCAGTGTGGGCGGATGGCAGTGTTAAAGGTGCATTGGATTGCAAGGTAAGGTAGGACCAAGTTCAGGATCAAGGCAGCAAGGGATGAAATCAGCAACCTCGAGTTCCAGGTCAGCTGAATCTCCAGCAGCAGAGGAGGGTTGAGTGAATTTTGGTGCCTCCGTGTGAAGTTCAGGATTAAGGCAGCAGGAGATGAGTCAGCTACCTCAAGTCCCAGGTGAGCTGAAGCTCCAGCAGCAGAGGAAGGTTGAGTGAGCTCTGATGGCCTGGCTTGCGAGTGAGCCTAAGTTTGAAGTAAGTTTCGCACGTTCTTGTGACACTTCAAACTTTTGCTTCCAGGTCGTCACACTTCAGACTCTAGCCTCACCTCTCCCCTCTCTCCTCTGCCCTTTCATGCCCCCCATAGGCCCGCATGGCTGCAGAGAAGGCTGAGCTGTGTGCACTTCGAGAGCAGAACTCCATCATCAGTCATCCAGCCCAAGTGCTTTCTCCACCGCTGCCATCCCAGTTCATGCCGACCCTCGAATCTGTTCCTGCCCTGGAGCATGATGAGATTCCTTAACTAATCCAATGTGCCACCTTGCCGGTTTATTTGCTGACTTGGCCATGTCGTGCTGCCATTTGTGTATGTAGTGTATGTTTCCAAGAACGATTGTAGTATGATCCTATTGATACTCATATTATAAGGATGTGCAAGTACGGTAATCAAGGATTTGTGAGATCAGATTTGCCAACAAAGGGTTGGCCAATCAAATATATTATCAATTGGTTTACATCAGTCAATCCTATGAATCATTTTGGTATCGACATACAAGCCAAGCACTAACTTTCAATGTATAATCAACTGCTTCCTTGACTAACTTTCAATGTAAAATCAAGGAATTTTCCTTTCCTTACCGAGACGTACTGCTACCGCGCATACTCGAACACACCCGAGCCTCGGTTCGGTTCCGGACCTTTCTGACAAAACCGCCTCGGCTTTTCAGACCTACTAGTTTGACCTTCAGGAGTTTTCCGGGCCTCGCTTCGTCACTCTGCGACCCTTCAATCTCCTTCCTGAACCCTCGCATCTCACGGCTAAACTAGCTATGGTGCTCCTATATCTTGGCTACAGGGCCAGGGATTCAAGGGTCTTTCACCCTGATTACCCTTGCCAGCTGCCGTTTTTTCGGGATTACCCTGATTTTGTAAGGCTACTTTACTTCTGACCCTTAGTCAAAAAGTGTAAGGGTTGTACTACCCTGCTGTAGTAAGGGGCCTCCCACTTTTACCCTGCCCAGTCAGGGTGCGACGTAATAAACCCTGTAACAGAAAACTTCAAGGGTCGCAGATTCGACAGCTGTCGAATCTGCGGTTTCGGCGAATACTGTCCAGGCAGTCCCGCCCACCGATAATCGAACCCACCTCGCTGGCATTGCCAGCACTCTCGCGTGGGCACCAATAGCTCTAGGCGGGGCAACAAACCTGCCACCACAGCAGTCCTTGCATTGCGGCAACAATCATGCCACCGTGTAGATATTTATAACTAGTTGATGTAGGAATATGGTACTGTTTCTAGATGTAACTAGATTTGAGACTTTTTGTGAACATGAAGAGCTCGATTATTAGCGGACAGGGTATCTTACAAATCATTCTTCCTGCATCAGTGTACTTTTTCTTTCCAGACCGAACACCCTGATTTTGTCAGGCCGCCGCGAAAAATGCCCAAGGAGCAAGGGTAAAAAAACCATGCTACCCTGATTCCTAAGGGTGCCTCAAAACCAATCCCTGGCCCTGCTTGGCTAGCCATTTCTTCTAGGTATCGTCATTCGGTTTTTCAACACTTCGATATTCATTTTGTAAGGAGATTCCTTTCCTTACTGGGCTCGACTATAACGCGCATGCCCTCAACTCTCGGAAGTCCAGGCTTGGTCAACTTCTTCGGTCCCAAACCACTTAGCGAACGCAAACCTCGACGCGTTGCGCTTCCGTAGCTTTCGCCAACCGAATCGCCCCAAACTGTTCGCGTGGTTCTCGGCTAGCCCCGTTCGTGCCTATGAATGCCTAGGCCCTGATTTGTATCGACACTCTTGAATCACGAATCCTTTATTACACTACCTGTTATTTCTCTGATCAATTCATAACAGCTGATATCAGAGCCCCGTTCCTGCCTGCTTAGTCTTCCGTAGAGTAGTCTGTTTATATCGAGAGAGGACCCCACAGAATAGGAGGTTGGTCAGCCGTTAGTAGGGTAGCTCCTCCAACTAGAAGCGTGTGCACCCTCAGATCTGTCAGGTAAAATTTATAGCATGCCTACCACGCCGGAAACCTCTGCCCGCCATAGTGTTAGGAACGTGACCCAGGAGGAGTTGGACGAGTTGCAAGCTAGGGTGGCTACAGTGACGACACTGCAAGCCCAACTTCAACAACTCGCCGATAAGTTCGAGACGCTACGAAGCGAAGTGCAGATGCTGTGCAGCGAAAACTCGTTGCTTCAATGGGCGCGGGGTGAAACGCGGTAGGGGCAGCCTGTTACCAGAGACGAAGATGCTGCGAGCGAAGCGAGGGCGTCGGCGATACCTGAAGCAGTTGAAGAAGTCCACAGCGAACCACGGGTGGCCATTAAAATCAAACCACCCATGCCGCCGCTGTTCAACCCGACCGACAAATCGATTATAGTGAGCAGTTGGCTGTTCGCCATGGAGATCTACTTTACAGCAACAAATATTTATGACAACGCTTCGCGTGTCAACTTGGCTGTGTTGCTGCTAAGGGGACCGGCACTCGACTAGTGGTGCATGCATCTGGACGAGGGAGGAGCCATGACAGGGAATCAACGGGCGCTAGATGGGGAGCACGGTTCATCAACAGCACGGGCATAACCGATCTTTGGGTCGGCCAGGATCCGCACGTGGAAAACGAGGGGCGAAGCATTGAAGAGCCGTTTCGAGCACATATCCATGCACGAAAACGCTCGCACAAGGCTTCGGATGTGGAGACAGTTGGGATCGTTCTAGGAGTACACGGCGTCGTTCCTGTCGCTATGCGATCAAATCGGCGGCCTCAGCAACGTTGAGAAAATCGATCGCTACGTGGGTGGTCTCAAGCCAGAGATACAGCAAGAGATCGTCCTGCGAGCCCCGGCGACCTTCAACGAAATCTTCCGGATCGCGGATGCGATGGACGCAAGACGTGGACTAGCGAGGGCAGGCGTTTTCGAGGCCAACACCAACACGCATCAATCAACGGCGTGGATGTCTTTGCAACCCAGGTTTTTCACAGGCGTTGTTTCAACTGCAACCGGCTGGGCCACATGGTGAAGGACTGCCCGGAGCTGAACTTAGCTAACGACGGAAAGCAGTCGGGAAATGGAAACAGTCAGTACCTGATGGGCCACCTGCTGACTTGACTGGGTCGCCCAAAAGCCACCACCCCCACCAGGTTATAGTGTCGATTTGGGCTATCGACCATTCCTGGCTGAATAAGGGGGATGAACCGGTTGATCACCCTGTGCTGGTTGAAGGAAGGGTTGGCAACACCCGCATCAAAATATTTGTTGATGGAGGGGCGAGCCACAGTTTGATGGATGTGACAAAAACGAATAAACCTCGATTGCAGCTAGAGCGTTGCATGCCGGAAATCGACGCGCGGTTGGTTGACGGCACCCCACTGGCGATTAGGGAGCGCGTGCCTCACGTACGCATCACCTGTGGCGGAAATTTCAGTTCCACGACAAAAATGCTGGCGACGACCCTGGATGGGTGCGACATGCTGCTGGGACGCGACTGGCTACGCGAGTATAACCCAAGCATCGATTGGCGGACGGGCGATTATCGCATAAGTGGAGTGGCGAGTGGCGACGCCTTCCCAAGTGGAGCAGTTGAGACTCGGCCACGTCCAGAATTAGCAATGTGAGTATCAAGCGAGCGATGATTCGTGGGGCACAGCTGTATGCCGTCCGATGGATCGCATCAATGACTGTTCACCATTCGATCGACATCGACAAACTCTGCGCAACTGTCCCGGTTGATTTGACAACAGTGATTCGGAAGCACGCCGTTATTATTTTGGATGATCTACCCGCAGGCTTGCCACCTCAGCGACCGCACGACCACAAAATCGAGCTCGAGCCCGGCGCGCAACCAACTGTTTTCACACACAGTGGCAGCTGACTCAGCCGGAGTTGGATAAACTTCGACGCCATCTAAAATACCTGCTCGAGAAAGGATTCGTCCGCCCCATCACATCCCCGTTTGCAGCTCCAATCTTGTTCACCCCGAAGAAAGATGGCGGTTTACGTATGTGTACAGAATACTGTGCCTTGAATCGTGTCACATGATCGAATGTGCTATGCGTAGTGCGGAAGAGAATTTAAACTATAGAATGAATATTCTATGATAATCCCAAGGAACAACGCAATTTATAGGTGAGCACTCGCGAGGTCCTCCAAGCGAGGCGCGAGTCTAGCTAAAACGTGAATGTTCCAGAAAGGAACCATTTCCCTCTAGAAGCAATTGTTCTAGAAGCACTAGAGGATTCACCGAAATACGGTGAACACTCGCTGCATGCAACAGTTAATCTAGATAACAGATACACTTATGATAACCAAGAATAATCCAAATAACCACTTTGGATAAAATAATCCGGATAATTAAAATAAGTATTCTAGGTAATCAGTGGTGTTCTAGAAAATATAGAAATGGTCCTTTCTCCTAGGAAACCTATCCTGATCTCACAAATCGGGTTACCATAAAATCTCGGTACCCCATTCCGCTTGCCGACGAACTCATCTACCAACTTCGCAAGGCTAGGTTCTTCTCCAAAATTGATATGTGAGGTGGTTACCACCAGATTCGCGTGGACGAAGCGGACTGCTACAAGACGGCGTTTCAGACCCGGTACAGCAGTTATGAGTACACGGTTATGCCATTTGGTTTAACAAACGCGCCTCCGAGATTCTAGCTGACCATGAACGAGATTTTTCGGTCACTGATGGACAAGTGCATCATCGTGTACCTTGACGACATCCTGGTCTACAACACTACCCGAGAGCAGCATTTCAAATATTTCGAAGTCGTTTTCTCTCTCCTGCAGCAAAATCAGCTCATCACAAAAGGCTCTTCGTGCGAGTTTTAAAATACGAACTGGAGTTTTTGGGCCACGTTATCTCCATGGACGGCGTTAAAATCGACCTTAAGAAGATTGCGATAATCCAAGACTGGAAGCCGCCGACTAATCTCCGTGAACTTCAGAGTTTTCTGGGGTTTGTAAATTAAGTCTGCCGGTTCATTCCGAACATGGCGGGGGTAACTTCCCGGCTCACGGATCTTATGATGAAGGGCACGTTTTTTTAGTGGGGGGGAGAGCAGCAGGCTGCGTTTGAAAAGCTCAAACTTTTCCTGACTACACATCCGGTTCTTCGTATTGCGGATCCTCACCGTCCGTTCGGGCTCATCACCGACACTAGTGATCTGGCCGTTGGCGCAGTCCTATTACAAGTCTTTGGCGAAGGACTACAACCCATCGCCTACGAATCACGAAAGCTGAACCAGGCCGAGCAAAATTATCCTGTCCACGACGGTTCACGCTTTCAAGGTTTGGCGTTGCTACCTGACGGGCGTTGATGTGACAGTCCAAACTGACCACAAGTTACTATAGTTCATCTACGCCTGGCCGACACTGAACCCCCGACAGATTCGCTGGCTCGACTACCTCGAGTCAAACTTCCATTACAAAGTCACCTA